CTGACTATTTATAGGAATACTGATGTATGGTGCAAGTACTGACGGGTTTAAGTGACAAGTACTGACGGGTTTAAGCGACTGCTGACAACACGTATATTTCTCACGAGTTTCCATGAATAGTAACCACCATTAAGCTTTTCTACTTGACTGACGGATGTTCTAACGCAGAAGCCAGTTATTAAAAGCTCTGACACCTGTTCTACACACTATGCATCTTGCCGTGATAGTTGATAATCAGTTTGATTGCTTGATTTTTTTGAAAAAAAATAAATGTGTGATAAATTAAAATGTGTCATCTGTTTATTTTAGGATTTTGGCGGGGGACATCAGCCTCACTGTTGGCTTGTTGTTTCTGACAATAAACTTTTTCGAATAAAAGAACTTCTCAGCTCACAAGACATTTTTAAGCTTATCTCATCGCCACTATGTTGTGTATTTGGATTTATACAACACTAAACATTGAAGATGATAACTATAATTTATTATGATAACAGATAAGGGTCGTAACTCTATTGAGTAGAGATAATACGGATCCACGGATCGGGAATGGAACAAGAGTCTATTGTCTACGTGACACTACACTACAAACTAAAGCAATCCCAAAAGTGTATCCCTTGACTGATATGATTGTTGATAAATTACCTTGTGGTACAAAAGTTTTCATTAAATTTTCACATATAGTTAGTTAACTTCTTGACAAATTTTCACAAAATTTGAATCAATATTTACAGTATAAAGGGAAAAATTCATGAGTTGGAACATGTTGTTTCTAAGACTATGAAATAGTGAACAGATAGGGCAGGTGGGTGTCCTTTTTGCACGCAGACTTTGAAGTGTGATTGGCTTGTTATAGACATTTTCTTGTCATCAAAAATGTACATATATGAAATTTTAAAACTCCAGAATGAAAGTCCTAGTCATCCATTCATTATACGCCCACATTTTCATGTTGACGTATATATATATTGTCGTCGCCCCTGTCCGTCCGTCCTTCCGTCCACAATTGTTTGTGAACACTCTACAGGTCACAATTTTTATCCGATTTCAATGAAACTTGAAATATAGGTTTATCACCTTAAGATCTCGGTTCCTGTCGATATTGGCATGAATCGGACTGTAACTTCATGGATTATGGCCCCTGATTGTACGAAAGATCACGTTTTTAGCTTGTGAACACTCTAGAGGTCACAATTTTTATCCGATTTGGTTTAAATTTGAAATGTATGTTTATAACCCACAGACCTAATCTGTATGGAATTGTCTTGTAAAGACCCCCAATTACCTACAAAGGAATAAATATGCGACAACCCTTGTCGACCGTTCAGACGATTTAGCTACTGTGGGCGTATATTTTGTTGCCTGGCAACCTATCTTTAGCTTGTGGACCTCATAGAGGTCACAATTATTATCCAATTGAAAAAAAACATGTGAATATATCACCGTTTCACCCTAAGAATGGTTGAGTTTGAATTTCGTAAAAATCGGACTGAAACTGACAGACAAAATGGCCGCCCCTTGTTTGCAAATAGGGTCAAAATATTGCGTATCAGGGTTGTGGACCCTCTGGAGGTCACAATTATGGCCCCTGATTGTAGGAAAAATCGCGTTTTTAGCTTGTGGACCCCATAGAGGTCACAATTTTTATTCGATTTACAAAATATGTGAATATATCACCGTTACACCCTAAGAATGGTTGAGTTTGAATTTCGTAAAAACTGGACCGAAACTGACGGACAAAATGGCCACCCCTCGTTTGCAAATAGTGTCAAAATATTGCGTACAGGGTTGTGGACTCTCTGGAGGTCACAATTTTCATCTGATTTTGATGAAACTTGAAATGCATGTTTATAACCCACAGATCTCGGTTCCTTTCGATATTCGCGCATATCGGACTATAACTTCCTGAATTATGGCCCCTGATTGTAGGAAAAATCACGATTTTAGCTTGTGGACCCCATAGAGGTCACAATTTTTATTCGATTTACAAAATATGTGAATATATCACCGTTACACCCTAAGAATGGTTGAGTTTGTATTTCGTAAAAATTGGACCGAAACTGACGGACAAAATGGCCGCCCCTCGTTCGCAAATAGTGTCAAAATATTGTGTATCAGGGTGTGGATCCTCTAGAGGTCACAATTTTCATCTGATTTTGATGAAATTTGAAATGCATATTTAAAACCCAAATATCTTAGTTCCTTTCTATTTTCGTGCATATCGAATCGTAACTTCCTTAATTATGGCCCTAGAGATCACAATTATTATCCAATTTAAAAAAAATGTTCGAATATATCACCATTACACCGTAATTTTGTGTGAGGATGAGTTTCATGAAAATCGAACCAAAATTGGCACACAAAATGGCTGCCCCTCGTACCTAAATAGTGTAAACATCTGGTATATCAAACTTGTCGACCCTCTAGAGGAACAATTTTGATCCGATTTAATGAAACTTGAAATGCAAGTTTATAAACCAAAGATCTTGGTTCCTGTCAATATCGCGCATATCGAATTGTAACTTCCTGAATTATGGCCTCTGGTTGTACGAAAAATCAAGATTTTAGCTTGTGGTCCCTCTAGAGATCACAATTATTATTCGATTTAAAAAAATGTTTGAATATATCACCGTTACACAGTAATGTTTGTTGACTTGGAATTTAGTGAAAATCGGGCCAAAACTGCTGGACAAAATGGCCGCCCCTCGTACGCAAATAGTGTAAACATCTGGTAAATCAAGGTTGTGGAGCCTCTAGTGATCACAATTTTGATGCGATTTTGATTAAAGTTGAAATACATGTTTATAACCCAAATTTCGATATTCGCCTGATCAGATTGTATCTTCCTGAATTATGGCCCTTGAATGTACACAAAGTCATGTTTTTTGCTTGCGGTCCATGTAGAGGTCACAATTTTTATCTAATTTAAAAAGAAACTTGTTATATATCACCATTACACACTAACTTCCTGGATTATGGCTCCTGATTGTTCGAAAAATCGCGTTTTTAGCATGCAGACTCTATAGAGGTCATAATTTTTTTTCCGATTTTAAAAAACGTTTAAATATATCACCATTCCACCATAATGAAGGTTGAATTCGAATTTCAGGAAAATCGAAATGAAGCTGCCCGACAAAATGGCCGCACTTTGTACGCAAATTGTGTAAAAGTATGCTATGAATGTTGCGGGCCCTCTAGAGGTCACAATTTTTATCTAATTTTGATGAAACTTAAAAAACATATCTTTATATCCCAAAGATCTCAGTCCCTTTTGATATTTGGCATTTCAGACCATAACTTTCTGGATTATTGCCCCTGATAGTACAAAAAATCCTGTTTGTTTTTAGCTTGTTCTCTATCCATCTCTTGCAAAATGTGGGCGTATCCTGCCTGGCAGCCACTGGTTATACGACCACATGGAAAAGTCTGTCAGTTTTCAACAATTTCTGTAAATTCCTTCCAGGGTTAAGGCCCTTGTTTCAGTTTTTGAACCTTTTTAACCCTCAAACGACAAAAATTACAAATTGATCTGTACACAATTGTCTTGTAAATGCCCCCCCACCCCCCTCCATTACCTACAACGAAGAAGTATGCGACAACCCTTGTCGACCGCTCAGACAATTTACCTGCTGTGGGCGTATATTTCGTTGCTGACAAACTATCATTAAATTCGTGTAACGATGAATCCTATTGAATTTCAACATTTTCTGTCAATTACTTTGTGAGTTATTGCCCTTGTTTTACTTTGTTGAACCTTGTAAACACTCAAACGACAAAAATTTCTGTAAATTTCTTCCAGAGTTAAGGCTCTTGTTGTAGTTAACCCTCAAATCATGAAAATTACAAATTGATCTGTATAAAATTGTCTTGTAAATGCCACTTATTACCTACAACGAAGACATATGCCACAACCCTTGTCGACTTAGCTGCTGTGGGCGGATGTTTTGTTGCCTGGCAACCTATCTTTTATACCCCCACATGGAAATGTGGACGTATATTGCCGTCGCCCCTGTCCAGACGTTCGTCCGAATTTCTTGTGAATTCCAAAAGTTATTATTCGATTGTTTTAAAATTGATATATACTCTTCAAAAAAAAGTAGGGGATAATCTGAAACAATACAAAACTGCGGAAATGCACTGATGTTTTTATTAGAGGTAACCAGTGTATGTTAATAACAGGCCATTTGCCTATACATGAACGTAAACAGTTCATATGGGCAGCTTATCTGACGGCTACATTTCACTCGCAAAGAGATACACTGTCAAAAGTGAAAATGGACGTTTTTGATTTTTGTCTTAATAATGATTAATTGCTCCATCAATCCTCAGACATTCAGCAATTCGTCGTGACATGCTCCTAATCAACCGTCCAATCACGATTTGGGGCAATCTGACCCACTCCTCTTGGAGTGCCACGGACAATTCTTGCAGTGTTGTTGGTTGACGTCGTCAACGAACACGTCCCCCGATCAAATTAAACCTAACACACTAAAGCAAAGATATGCTAAACAGTAAATCTTATGCAAGAACCGATAGGAAAGCAAACATGGATAGGATAAACCAGCACGCGGCAGTTTTCATCAACCCTTCCTTGAAGTGTTAAATTTGACAATGAACCCCTCCCACGTGTATGGCGCTATTGCGTGTCCCATGTGCACCTCAGTGGTTCTTTGTGGGGCGATAAGTTCTTCATCTGAACATACTCTCAAAGCATGTCAAGTGTCCATGACTATTTATCATATCACAACCTAGATAGGTATTTGCATTTCAATATCCCCTACTTTTTTTGAAGGGTATGTAAGAAAAAGCCTATATATTTATATTACTAGCTTACTTGTATTGTTCATAAGGAGGAACCCCATCATTTCCTCCAGGTATATCACCATTGTCATTTAAAGCTTGTAATCGCTGTCAGTGTTTTTGAGATTTTTATGTTGAACACAGAGTCACCTATCAAATATATTTTGTTACTTGCCAACCTACTTCTTATTTTTTTTTTTCAGAAAGTAAGTAAAGTGCTGTCACTTAATGTACCGGAGTTAAAAGAAAAAAAAGAACATGGTTCGGGTAAATATACATACGATAAATTAATGGATCTACAAAGTCGACTAATGCTAGTAGCTGGACAGGCTGAAAAGGGAAATGAAAATATAGATATTTTTACAGCAGTAAGTTTTTAGTTGATTGCTTTGTTTAATGCTATTAACACTGGTACATCCATAGTGTGTAGAACTGATCCGGGAGTATTTATTAACAGGGCTTATTATTAGTGTGTCGTCATATCCAGTAGAAGGGGTTAATTGTGGTTAGTATTCATGGAAACTCATGAGAAATGCATGTGTTGTCAGTAGTCGCTTTAGTACTTGTAAAGTACGTCAGTATTCCTATAAATGGTCAGAAATATTCATAAAGTAAGTATTTAAGTTAATTGGTAAGTATTCCTTACTTGTTTCAGTATGTAAAAATAGCATAATTAAACAAACACGAGTTAATCCGAACAGATCACTAGTAAGGCGCATGGCGGAAGAAATTGGCAAAAGCATGACCAATTAAGAAAATGTCACTATTGAGACTACCGTTTACTATCTAGCTCAAACTGCAAGTTTTCTTTGATCTCAACCAACATCAGTAGAGTGTGAAATAATTGACTATATAAATTAGTGGGAAGTATTGTTTTATATGATTAATAAAGCTAAAACTGTAACTTTTCCTTTAATTCTCACTACATCCTGAATTAATTATTGATATTTATTAAAAGTGCATTAGGTAAGATTTGATAAAGAACTGAGAGTTCTCGATACAATAGTTGTAAAATAGATAATGGAAACAAAATATGCTGAAAATTTCAGTTAAATTGCTTCACTCTGAACCAAGATACTAGCCATTCAATTTTAGACTAGTCTCATTCGTCATTACTAACGTTGGTATGATAACAAATAATGTGGATGTATATTGCTGTCACCCCTGTCCATCCGTCCGTCGTCCACAATCAAATTGTTTTAAAATTGATATATGTTGTGTACATTAGTGAGATGAAGAAGCCTATTTAATTTCAATAATTTCTGTTAATTACTTGTAAAGTTATAGCCCTTGTTTCACTTTGTTGCACCCTTTGAATGCTCTTAACATCTAAAGTTATCTGCCAAACTGTATGAAATTTATGTGTTATTTGAATTAGTAAAAAGAAGAATCCGATTGAATTTCAGCAATTTCCATTTGGAGGCAGACCACCATTAAATTTCACCATCTCGGACCCACAAATTGTAGTTCGTCTATTTATAGCAATTTTCTCTCTGTCTCTTTTCTCCCCTTTTGCATGCCCATTTTTGTTGATTTTTTGGTCTAGAATGGATGGAGAGGGTTTGAATTAACATTTTCTGTCAGGTTTTGGTAAATATTCATGATTTTGAGGCGGAACGGTAACAGGGTTATCAGGTTGGCTATGGTGATATGTACGGCAACTAGTTACATGTTTTTAGTATGCTTCTTCAAGTTTGTGTATCTCAAAATTTTAGTGGTCAACCTCATACAAATTTTAGTGCAAAGACATGACCATTTGTTCCTCTGTCTGTAGTGAAAAGCATTCAGCCCAACGAAAATTTGGGGAAAAGTTAGAGGTGGGCAAAGAGGCCAGAATTAACATTGAAGTCAATGGGAAAATTAATGGTGGTCTGCCTCCATTTAGTACATCTAAAGTTATGGCCCTTGTTTCACTTCGTTGAACCTTGTGAACGCTCTAATGCCAACAGTTATCATCCGATCTTTATGAAATTTATATGCATTATTTAGATTAGGGAAACAAAGAAGCCTATTGAATTTCATCAAGTTCCGTTTATTACTTCTAGAGTTATGGCCCTTGTTTCACTTTATTGTACCTTGTGAATGCTCTAAGAACAAAAGTTATTATCCGATCTGTATGAAATTTATATGTATCGTTTGAATTAGTAAAACGAACAAGCCTATTGAGTTTCAGCAAATTTCCGTTAATTACATCTAGAGTTATGGCCCTTGTTTCACTTTATTGAATCTTGTGAACGCTCTAATGACAAAAGTTATCATCCGATAATTACTTCTAGAGTTATGGCCCTTGTTTCACTTTGTTGTACCTTGTGAATGCTCTAACGACAAAAGTTATTATCCGATCTGTATGAAATTGATATGCATCATTTAAATTAGTGCAACGAAGAAGCCTATTGAATTTCAGCAATTTCCGTTAATTACGCTGTGAGTTATGGCCCTTGTTTCACTTTGTTGTGACTTTTGAATGCTCTAACGACAAATGTTTTTATCCAATCTGTATGAAATTTATCGTTTAAATTAGTAAACAAACAAGCCTATTGAGCTTCAGCAAATTTCCGTAGATTTGTCCCAGAGTTACGGCCCTTGTTTTAGTTTTTATACGACCACATTTATTGTTGTCGGCCCCCGTCCGTCTGCTTGTGGATGCTCTAGAGGCTAAAGTTAATATCTGATTGACTTTGAATTTATATACAGTGTTTAAGGTCACGAGATGAAGAAGCCTATTGATTTTTAGCAATTTCCAATAATAACTGCCAGAGTTATGGCCCTTGATCACTTCAAAAAATCTTGTGTATAAATTTAAAGTTAATATCCGATTGACTTTAAATTTATACACAGTGTTAAAGGTCATGAGACGAAGAAGCCTATTGATTTTCAGCGATTTCCGATAATTACTGTCAGAGTTATGGCCCGTGATCACTTTGAAAAATCTTGTGGACGGCTCTAGAGGCGAACAGGTATATTGATTTTCAATGAATTTTTATGACTTAAACAGTTAAATCCATGATATTAAAAGTTTCGTATACTAAATGTTAGCATGGGGGGGGGGGGCAGAACTGTATAAAAACCAAACAAATTCTAATGGTTTTCTGATAATTACTTCATCAGTTGTTACTCTTAATCAGATTTTAATGTATTATAAATGTTTCATTACCAAAAAAAGTAAAAATATGCGACAACTCTTGTTGACTGCCTGGACGATATAGCTGCTATGGGCGTATGTTTCGTTGCCTGGCAACCTATCTTTAGTTTCTTTAACCAATTGATAGATTTCAGCTTATTGAGATTTATTCAAAATACGTTGATTAGTCCCATATGGATGAGACAATGTGAAGTCACTTCAAGAGATGACCATCATCAAGATCAGTCGCATTATTTCTGTTCCCTCTTTCTTGTAAATATGGGGGGTTGAATGGCCGAATGGTTAGCATGTGCACACTGTATCATAAGGTCTGTCATTGAGTCAACTGGCGTGGTTTCGATTCCCTGGTTGAACGTGAGAAGGAGTAGGGGCGCCTGTCCAACCTCGTGGGTTTTCTCTAGGTCCTCTGGTTTCCTCCCACTGCTAAAGACCCCTAAGCACATGCGAATTATTGAAATAAAATTGAACCATATGTTAGTCCCGAAATGACCTAGTTTATGTTGAGTGGATGTTAAACCCATTTCTCTCTCTTTCTCGCTCTCTCTCTCTCTCTCTCTTTACTGATTTTGATCAAAGGAGGATGACTTGCATCCATCCAATTGGCTACTAGTTATTTGTATTGATTATAATTAAAATAAGTACCTAAAAATTAGCACTACAAAATGTTATATTATATTTCTAGGTTTTAGATGGTGTTGTAAGATTAGCAAAATCTTTTGTAAAACTCTGTACAGATGGTTGTGTATTTTTCAATTCATGGAAGGTACAGTTTTTATGCAGTAGTTCAAAAGAAGTTTGTGCTTTTTTGACTTTTGGAAAAGACCAGATTCTTAAAGGACATAGAAACCCAGATAATGTTGTAGATTTTATTAGACATTTGGCTAATTTCCTTGAAAAATGCCATGAAGATTGGTTAAAATATTTAAATGACAAGAGAGAAGAATATTTAGAACTGAATTATTATACAGTAGAACAGTTAGTATTTCTTCAACAAGAAATTATTAAAGCTGGCCAGGATGAACCAGACCCACTGATTTATCCCATGTTATCATTGGTTAAACAAGATTGTTCTAGAAATGACTTGATTCAAGCTATGAAATTAGCAATGACATCTGTTAGTGATAAAGACAAAAATATGGAAACCTTAGAAACTACAACCAAAGTTGAACTGTCAGAAGATGAGCAGAAAGATGAATTTATTCAATACATGCAAGACAATGGGTTTACATTAGAATTAGCACAGACAGCCTACCTTAATGTCAAAGATAAAGGAGATAAAGATGAAGGTATAAATCACATTTTTTTTTGATATTTCTGTGTTTTACAAATATTTTTATAAGCCCAGAATGAAATGTGGGTCATCCCTCTGTATGTCATCCACAATTGCTTGTGGACACTCTGAAGGGTAAAAGTTATTAACTGATTAAATTGAATCTATACACAGTGTTTCTATTTATGGGATGGAGAAGTCTGCTTATTTTCTATGAAAGATAAAGTTTTCATCTAATTACTGGTACAAGTATTGTTTATGTCAATACTACAAAGAACTTGGAGCCTAGTGAAGTATTTCATAGGTTCATTATTGTTCTTGATTAGTTTTTGGTGTCTTGTAATTATAAGTTTTCCCATTTCCTGCAAAAGAATAAATATGTGACCACATTTATGAACTACTTTGGAAGACTTATATACAGCTATTGTTATGTTTTATTGTTTGAAAAGCTATCTTTCCTAATGATCTGTAACAAACAGCAAAAAATTATTATGTATTAAAATGTCTTTTTACAGGATTGTTGTTTTGTCTTAATGAGAATGAGGAAGAGTTTATTGAAAGTTCTGTTGACAAAGATGAATTAACAGCCATACCTTTCACAGGATGGACCACAGAACAAGGAACAATAGAACATAATATTGCCTGCACATTAATAAAGATGCCCAAATCAGACCGGTATTATACAATAATTATCACTTTGTTAGGAAACTTTCAGATGCCTACATTATAATAATATGATCACATTACTGTCGCCCCTAGCAACCGATCAATCTCCATCACTAGGATGTTAATTAAAACTGTATAGGTGTTTATTAGGCGAATATCTTGACTGAGATCAATATTGAGCAATTTTCATCTGCTTAGACTTAGCATAGATAAGCAATTTGATTGGTCGATGCTTTGGAACACGATAATCCTAATCGAATAAGTGTGATGAAACTTAAATTTAATGATGAGCATTTTTAAGCAGATATAAACAATTTGATTCAATGATGGAACACAATAACTTTGATCCTAATTCAGTTGTGCAAGGCAGATTTTAACTGGTTGGTTTAAGTTATTTTTTTTTGTTTTTTCTTGTATGTGTTTTCCACAATGCTCAACCGCATTGACAAATAGGGCAATTTCCAAACCCAAACTCGTTTTTCTCTACAATGTAAGAAAAATATGGATGCTGCCCAGTTTGATTCCCCACAACTTCCTGTTTATCTTGTGATTGTTGAGGGGTCAACATTTCGTTAAAAGTCTTATCTGCAATTGTGGATTCTTAAGAACTTACAGTTGTGGGTATTTGATTGAACATCCTCTGTTTGATTTCTGATATGGAGGCATCTTAATTATGGTGTTCTTATTTAAATATTTTAGAGTGACATGCAAAGAACTAATTGGAAAATTTGAACATATATGGAAAGAATTTCTTGAAAAGGTGTCCTCTAGTGTAGTGAATTATTTGAGTTTAGAACATCTTGGAATTATATTACATAATCTTGCTGAAACAAGTAAGTGTTAAATATTTATTTTAATAGAAATCTATGAGTAGCAAGTAGCCATCCCAGATTTCTCTAATGAAGCGACTTAAGTGAGATTGTCGTTCATTTGTTCCTGGGGTTTTACGTTCACTTCCACCTTGCAGACAAGTGAGATTATGTGGATGTTCCCTTGAGTCTTGAGTGGACCGGCGCAATGCTGGTGCACAGAGAGATGGCTGAAGAATTGCCGTTACAAAAATGCTTATTTGCATATACTGTAAAACTCCCAAACCTGTAACAATAGAGTTGATCAGTTCCTCTGATTAGAGGCCCGGACATTTTACCTGCACCAATATACTAGATATATATATGGCAAATCTAAAACTTAGTGAAGATAGCTAGGTTTTTTTTATCAAGTCATAATGATAAAACCTGACAGCACAATTGCCAAATATCAGTTGAATACTCAGTACGATTGTAGATTAAGAATGCATGTCAGGACATGTTCCAAATTATGCTAGCTATGGAAATACAGCAGCGTTTTCTAATGCTTGAAAAACTTAGTGCATATTATACATTCCAATTACCCAGTCTGGTTATCTAAATAGTTCCAATATGTTTCTTACATTTTTATACGCCCACATTTTCATGTGGACGTATTTTGTCTTCGCCCCTGTCCGTCCGTCCACAATTGTTTGTGAACAGTCTAGAGGTCACAATTTTTATCCGATTTCAACGAAACTTGAAATATAGGTTTATCACCCTAAGATCTCGGTTCCTTTTGATATTGGCATGTATTGGACTGTAACCTCATGGATTATGGCCCTTGATTGTACGAAAAATCATGTTTTTAGCTTGTGAACACTGTAGAGGTCACAATTTTTATCCAATTTGGTTTAAACTTGAATATATGATTATAACCCATAGATCTCGGTTCCTTTCGATATTCGTGCATATCTTCCTGAATTATGACCTCTGATTGTACGAAAAATCACATTTTTAGCTTGTGGACCCTATAGAGGTCATAATTTTTATCCGATTTAAAAAAACGTTTCAGTATATCACCGTTACACCCTAAGTGCGGTTGAGTTTGATTTTCGTGAAAATCGGACCAAAACTGACTGACAAAATGGTCGCCCATCGTTCTCAAATAGCGTAAAAATACGATATTTCAAGGTTGTGGTCCCTATAGAGGTCACAATTTTTATCCGATTTTGTTGAAACTTGAAATGTAAGTTTATAACCCAAAATCTGGCTCCTTTCGATATTCGTGCATATCGAATCGTAACTTCCTGAATTATGGCCCCTGATTGTACGAAAAATCGAGTTTTTAGCTTGTGGACCCTATAGAGGTCATAATTTTTATCCGATTTAAAAAAACTTTTTTTATATATCACCGTTAGACTCTAAGGTTGGTTGAGTTCGATTTTCGTGAAAATGGGCCCAAAACTGACAGACAAAATGGCCGCCCCTCATTCTCAAATAACGTAAAAATATGGTATATCAAGGTTGTGGACCCTCTAGAGGTCACAATTTTCTTCTGATTTTGATGAAACTTAAAATGGAAGTTTATAACCCAAACTTTCGGAATTATGGCCCCTGATTGTACGAAAAATCGTGTTTTTAGCTTGTGGACCCTATAGCAGTCAAAATTCTTATCCGATTTGAAAAAAAGTTTGAATATATCACCGTTGCACCCTAAGGATGGTTGAGTTAGGATTTCATAAAAATCGAACCGAAACTGACAGACAAAATGGCCGCGCTTTTTGTATGCAAATTGTGTAAAACTATGCAATACGAAGGTTGTCGACCCTCTAGAGGTCACAATTTTTATCCGATTCTGATGAAACTTAAAATATATCTTTATATCCCAAAGATCTCAGTCCCTTTTGATATTTGCGCATTTCAGACCATAATTTTCTGGATTATTGGCCCTGATTGTACAAAAAATCCCGTTTGTTTTTAGCTTGTTCTCTATCCATCTCTTGCAAAATGTGGGCGTATCCTGCCTGGCAGCTGCTGGTTTTAAAACGACAACAATAAGCCCAATATTATTACTTTATTGGAACACATGCTTTTTATACGCCCCCTTCCGTCCGTCCGTCCGTCCGTCCGTCCACCCACAATTTCTTGTGAACGCCAAATGTTGTCATCTGATTTGTTTTAAAATTGACATATGTTGTTTACATTAGTGAGATGAAGAAGCCTATTTAATATCAATAATTTCTTTTAATTACTTCTAAAGTTATGGCCCATGTTTCACTTTGTTGCACCATGTGAACACTCTTACATCAAAAGTTATCGGCTGATTTGTATGAAATTTATATGCGTCATTTAGATTAGTAAAAAAAAGAATCCTTTTGAATTTCAGCAATTTCTGTTAATTACATCTAGAGTTATGGCCCTTGTTTCACTTTATTGAACCTTGTGAACACTCTAACGTCAAAAGTTATCATCCGATCTGTATGAAAGTTATATGCATTATTTGAATTAGTGAAACGAAGAAGCCTATTGAATTTCAACAATTTCCGTTGATTACTTCTAGAATTATGGCCCTTGTTTCACTTTGTTGCACCTTGTGAATGCTCTAACATCAAAAGTTATCTGCCGTTCTGTATGAAATTAATTTGCGTCATTTAAATTAGTAAAAAGAAGAATCCTATTGAATTTCAGCAATTTCCGGTTATTACGTCTATAGTTTCTGGAGTTATGGCCCTTGTTTCACTTTATTGTCCCTCACGTTTCGAATAAAGCAGGGGACTATTAAAATGGGTTCGTCCATCCGTCTGTCTAACACTTTTTGGGACACAATAACCTTCCTTCTAATTGAGCTAGAATGTTCAAACTTGGTGTAGGTGTTTATTAGGTCAATGAAGATGAGCATTTTCTACTTAGGGTAAGCAGAGATAAGCAATTTGATTGGTTGATGCTTAACACAATAACTTTAGTTCTAATTAAGTGAGAGTGGTGAAATTTGGTGTATAGTTTCATAACATCAATACCTTGACTAAGTTCGATAATGAGCATTTTCTGCTTAGGGTAAGCAGAACGATAAGTAATTTGATTGGTCGAGACTTTGGAACACAGTAACTCTTCTTCGAATTGAGGTAAAATGTTCAAACATGATGTAGGCGTTGATTGAGTGAGTTCAATAATGAGCATTTTCTGCTCAGACTAAGCCGTGCAATAAGAAAATTGATTAGCCGAGACTTTGGAACACAATAACTCTCCTTCTAATTGAGCTAGAATGTTCACACTTGGCATAGGTGTTTTTTAGGTGAATGCCTGGATGGAGTTCAAAGATGAGCCTTTTCTGCTTAGGTTAAGCAGAGATAAGCAATTTGATTGGTTTATGGTTTGGGACACGATAACTTTGGTTCTAATTAAGTTAGAGTGATGAAACTTGACTAAGTTTGGTTATGAGAGCATTTGTGGCTCAGGGTAAGCAAAGCGATAAGCAATTTGATTGGTCAAGACTTTGGAGCTCAACAACTTTGATTCTAATTGAGTGATAGTGGTGAAACTGTGTGTATAGTTTTATTACATTAATACCTTAACAAGGTTCAGTGCTGAGCATTTTCTGCTTAGGTCAAGTAGAGACTTCAATCTGATTGGTCGAGACTTTGTAACACATAACTCTCCTTCTAATTGTGAAAATGGCTTTATTATTTGTTGCTATAAATGAACATAAAGAACTTTGAATCTGCATTTACTGATCGGAATAGGCGGGTACTGTACAGCAAGCGATTATTAAGAACTGCCATACTGTTGACGCGAGATTGCTAACTGATGTGAAAATCGAGACTACAGGTTTCGTATAGATTTAACACTGCACATTCTGAAAAGCCTTATTCCTCACAACCTTCGTTCTAATAAGTAACGGCACGCAATTTGACAAAAACAAGCTAATGTATATTTCAAAGGGGTGGATAGGATCTGCTCAATTGGTACTAGTATTTAAAACAAGGCATATAAATTTATTACGGACCTATTTCGTGCGACGGTTCGATATGATTTTTTAAGTTTTCATCGCGAGTTCTTTTCCTTGAACAAAATGGCCTCCTTACACTATTTCTTTTAGCATAGAACGATTAAAAAGTCCATTTGCCCCCGAAGAGAATATTTAAATCATAATCTAGCTTCTGATACATTTTAATCAGTTATCCAAGAATTCAATCCACCAATCTATTTGTGCTTCATGTTCCTCGGCGCCGACTCAACCTAACATAAAATTGAAGATTTTCGCACAGAATATTATGCTATGGTACATCTACTATAGTACTAGATCTAACAATGTAGCATTAACCCCCCCCCCCCCCAAAAAAAAAAACCAACCCCTACCTACCGTTACAGGAAACAGAACCCTTTTTTTGGGGCCTAAGTCTAAGCAGAGATGAGCTATTTGATTGGTTGAGACTTTGGAATACGATAACTTTGGTTCTACTTGGGTGAGAGCGATGAAAGTCTGAATATAGATCAATTATATCAATACATTGACTAAGTTCAATGATGAGAATTTTCTGCTTAGGATAAGTAGCGATAATCAGTTTGATTGGTCAAGACTTTGTAGACCAGGAGCCCAGGGGGGTCAACCTAGCTGAAAAGTGTACCAATTTTCTCCTATATGGTATCAATGCATGTATATCTGGTATCATGAGAATGTAAGTCTGCCAGGTATCTGGTGGTGGGTGTGGTATTCCACGCCCAAAATGCCACCTCCCAACTAGGCTAGATTAGCTCAAAAGTGTACCACATGAAAATCATACAGCAGTGTACCATACATCTTCAGGTATTACAAAAATACTCTGACAGACATTTCTTGTGGTGGGGTACCCCTTACAGAGCTATGTAATTGCCAGACATTTGTAGTGATGGAGTATCCCTGACAAGAGTTATCAGATTTCCAGACCACAACTAGGCTAAATTAGCTGAAAACGGTACCACCTAAAACAGCTTTGGAGTTGTTCAGTACCACCACAGGAATCATGAATGATCACTGCCAGATAGAGCTGGGCGATATCCCAGGCGACATTTTATAAAATGTCAATGATTTCAGTTTATCACTTTTTATATTGCCGTTGCCCCTGTTCGTCCGTCGGTCCGGCGTCCACAATTGCTTGTGGACGCTCTATAGGCTAAAGTTAATATCTGATGGACTTTAAATTTATACAAAGTGTTTAAGGTCATGAGACGAAAAAGCCTATTGATTTTCAACGATTTTCGATAATTACTGCCAGAGTTATGGCCCTTGATCACTTCAAAAAAATCTTGTGGATGCTCTAGAGGTCAAAGTTAATATCCGATTGACTTTAAATTTATACACAGTGTTTAAGGTTATGAGACGATTTTCGATAATTATTGCCAGGGTTATGGCCCTTGATTACTTAAAAAAAATCTTGTGGACGCTTTAGAGGTCAAAGTTAATTTCCAATTGACTTTAAATTTATACACAGTGTTTAAGGTCATGAGATGAAGAAGCCTATTGATTTTCAGCGATTTCCGATAGTTACTGCCAGAGTTATGGCCCTTGATCACTTTGAAAAATCTTGTGGATGCTCTAGAGGCTAAAGTTAATATCCGATTGACTTTAAATTGATACACAGTGTTTTGATTTGATTTTGATGAAACTTGAAATACATGTTTATAATCCAAAGATCTTGGTTCCTTTCGATATTTGCGCATATCAGATTGTAGCTTCCTGAATTATGGCCCATGACTGTTCGAAAAATCCTGTTTTTAGCTTGTGGTCCCTCTAGAGGTCACAATTATTATCTGATTTAAAAAAAACATTTGAATATGTCACCGTTACACCATATTGTTGGTTGAGTTTGAATTTCATGAAAATCGGACCAAAACTGCCAGACTAAATGGCTGCCCCTCTACGCAAATAGTGTAAATATCTGGTATATCATGATTGTGGACCCTCTAGAGGTCACAATTTTGATCCGATTTAATGAATCTTGAAATGCATGTTTAAACCCAAAGATCTTGGTTCCTGTCAATATTCGCACATATCTGATCTTATCTTCCTGAATTATGGCCCTTGATGTTATGAAAAATCACTTTTTGTTTGGGCTTATCCTGCCTGGCAGCCGCTGGTTATTTCCGTGACTGTTTTATATCAAAAATACCGAAATATCCCCCAGCTCTACTGCCAGACAGTTTGTGCAGTTGGTTACCTCTAACAGACACACCTCAAAATGTATGGAAGAGGCAATAAACTGCAGTTGCAAGAATTTAATTTTTAGACAAAAAATGTTTTATTGGGCTAAAAATGTGTTTTTGAAAAAAAAAAAAAAAAAAATTGTTCCTGCAACCACAGGTTATCGCCTCTTCATACTTGCTAGGTATTAGTATTCTACGCATCCTGGCACATTTTTTAATTTTTTTGACCACTAATCTAGCCTAAATTTGGGCCGTGGCATTTTGGGCGTGTCTGTTAGAGGTAACCTACCACACAAACTCTCTGGCAGTGGTCGCTCATGATTTCTGTGTTAGTACTGAACAACTTCAACACAGTTTTAGGTGGTACAGATTTCAGCTAATCTAGTCTAACTCTTGTCAGGGATACTCCACCACTACAAATGTCTGGCAATTACATAGCTTTGTCAGGGGTAACCCACCATTAGAAATGTCTATCAGAGTGTTTTTGTAATACCTGAAGATGTATGGTACACTGCTGTACGATTTTCATGTGGTAAACTTTTGAGCTAATCTAACCTAGTTGGGGGACATGACATTTGTGACTGGAATACCACACGCACCAGACAGATTTACATTCTGATGATACCAGATATGCATGTATTGATACCATGTAGAAGAAAATTAATACACTTTTCAGCTAGGTTGACCCCTGGGCTCCCGCTCTATTGGAACATAAAGATTCTGCTTTTAATTGAGGTATATATGTTTATTAGGCGAATGTCTTGACCGAGTTCAATGATTAATATTTCCCATTAAAGCTAAGCAGAGCTAAGCAATTTCTCTGGTCGATGTTTTGGGACAAGATATTGAATTTCAGCAATTTACAATAATTACTTCTAGAGTTATGGCCCTTGTTTCACTTTGTTCAACCGTGTTAATGCTCAACTGATGAAAGTTACCATCCAATATGTATGAAATTTATATGTATCATTTACATTTGTGAAACCGGAGGTCTATTGAATTTTAGCAATTTCCGTAAATTATTTCTAGAGTTATAGTCCTTGTTTTACTTTGTGAACGTTGTGAACATTCAAATAACAAAAGTTATCATCCGATCTGTATGAAATTTATATGCATTATTTAAATTCTTATATCGAAAAAGCCTGTATGAAATTTATATGCATTATTTAAAGTAGTGAAATGAAAAAGCCTGTCAAATTTCAAAATTTTCTGTATATTATTAAGGTTCTTGATTCAGTTTGTAGAACCTTGTGAATGCTCAAATGACAAAAATTATAATCTGATCTGTATGAAAGTATCTTGTAAATACCCCAATTACCTACAAAAGAATAAATATGCGACAAACTGTGTCGACCGCTCGGACGATTTAGCTGCTGTGGGCGTATGTTTTGTTCCCTGGCAACCTATCTTTTTTCAAAGCGAATCAAAGACTTATTTGCAGATATTAAATACAACGGATCAAAACCTGTTCAGATACCTTTTCATCTCGCAGGACACGCGAGTAGAAATGTCCCGATACAAATAATTAGGCTTTTCACGACTGATCCCGACTCTGACATAAATGATATGTCAAATGTTGGATAATATTTGAACCAATTTAAATCAATATGGATTTACACTTGCGAACTTTCATAACGATTGGCTATACAATAAGATTTAGTCCCAAAGGGTTCCCACGTTCTTTATTTTTGTTCCCCGCCTTTCGAAGAAAGCAGGGGACTATTAAAATGGGTCAGTTCGTCTGTCTGTCTGACCATTTTCTGCTTAAGGTAAGCAGAGATAAGCAATTTGATTGGCTAATGCTTTGGGACACGATAACTTTAGTTCTAATTAAGTGAGTGTGTTGAAACTTGGTGTATAGTTTCATTACATCAATACTATAAGTTGACTATAAGTTCGATAATGAGCATTTCCTGCTTGGGGTAAGCAGAGCGATAACCAATTTGATTGGTTGAGGCTTTGGAACACAATAACTCTCCTTCTAATTGAGGGAGAATGTTTAAACTTGGTGAAGGTGTCTATTAGGTGAATGCCTTGCCAGAGTTCGATAATTTAATTTGTCGATGCTTTGGAACAATGTAACTTTGAGTCTATACTAACTGATGGAGAGTGATGAAACTTAGTGTATATAGTTTCACTGCCAGGTACTTCAAAACCTTGACTGAGTTTGATTGTGAACATTTTATGCTTAATCAGTTTGATTGCTCGATACCTTTGAAAGAGATAAATTTGCAATTAATTAATATTTGTCATCTATATATTTTCGGTGGGGGACATCAGACTCACTGTTGGCTTGTTATTTTAATAGCTTAAGATAAGTAGAAATGTATGTATTAATGTATGTGATTAATTTGACTTAGCCTGCAATAATTGATACCCACTAGTCATACTTTTTTATTTACAGATTGTTTAAATATTAAAAGGAACTTAGCAGCAGGATTAAAACAAGGTGTTCCAAATCTGATTGTTTGTCCTCAAGGTCAGTGCATTATGTTTTGTTTTGATACTTGGGTTTTACCCAACTGCCCCAAAACAGTAGACTTCAACCGTATCTGTGATATATTGATCACAACTTTAAGAAACAGATTTTTGAAGCAGACATGTCAACTTATAACTCAAGAGTCAAGATAAGGTTGCATGTGATTGGTCTAAAGCTAAATTTTGAGATAATTGTTATAACATTTTCACTTTGATTATAAAGATGTATTGCATAATGCGGTAGAAACTAGATTTTTTCTTTGATTATAAAGATATATTGCTCAATGGGGTAGAAACTAGAAATTTTCTAAGTTAACTATTTTTTTGCAAGAATATAGAACAGATCAACCATCTTATTTAAGAAAGATTGTATTGTTTACCATTTTAATTCTTTCAGATGATATGCTGAATTATTTAACGTATATGTATATGCATCCTGCTGATCAGATGTTACCACGGCCAGATGAAGTTCTGATGTGTACAAAAGACACAAAATATGATGAGGTTTAATTTCTTTTAATTGTTCCTTCACTGGTCTAGTAATACAGAAGGTTAAAAAGTTACACTTAGTTCTGAGACAGTGTTGACTTGTTACTGCACATTTTGTAGTTGGTTGTAAAGATCCCTAAAAAGATCTGTATGAAATTTATATGCATCATTTAAATTAGTAAAACGAACAAGCCTATTGAGTTTCAGCAAACTTCTGTTAATTACATCTAGAGTTATGGCCCTTGTTTCACTTTGTTGAATCTTGTGAACGCTGTAATGACAACAGGTATCCGATCTGTTTAAAATTGATATGCATCATTTAAATTAGTGCAACGAAGAAGCCAATTGAATGTCAGCAATTTCCGTCAATTACTTCTGGAGTTAAGGCTCCTGTTTCACTTTGTTGAATCTTGTGAACGCTCTAATGAAAACAGTTATCATCCGATCTGTATGAAATTTATATCCATCATTTAAATTAGTAAAACAAAAAAGCCAATTGAATTTCGGCAATTTCTGTTTATTACATCTAGAGTTATGGCCCTTGTTTCACTTTGTTAAATCTTGTGAACACTCTAATGACAACAGTTATCATCCGATCTGTTTGAAATTGATATGCATCATTTAAATTAGTGAAACGAAGAAGCCTATTGAATTTTAGCAATTTCCGTTACTTACGCCGTGAGTTATGGCCCTTGTTTCACTTTGCTTTACCTTATAAATGCTCTAACGCCAAAAGTTATCAACCGATCTGTATGAAATTTATATGCATCATTTAAATTAGTCAAACGAACAAGCCTATTGAATTTCGGCAATTTCTGTTAATTACATCTAGAGTTATGGCCCTTGTTTCACTTTGTTGAATCTTGTGAACACTCTAATGACAACAGTTTTCATCCGATCTGTTTGAAATTTATATGCATCATTTAAATTAGTGAAACGAAGAAGCCTATTGAATTTTAGCAATTTCCGTTAATTACGCTGTGAGTTATGGCCCTTGTTTCACTTTGTTGTACCTTGTGAACGCTCTAACGACAAAAGTTATTATCCGATCTATATGAAATTTACATGTATCACTTAAATTAGTAAAACAAACAAGCCTATTGAGTTTCAGCAAATATCCGTTAATTACATCTAGAGTTATGGCCCTTGCTTAACTTTGTTGAAACTTGTGAACGCTTGAAAGTTATCACCTAATCTGTATGAAATTCATATGGATCATTTAAATTAGTGAAATGAAGAAGCCTGTTGAATGTCAGCAATTTCCGTCAATTTTGTCTAGAGTTATGGCCTTTGATTTACTTTGTTGAACTTTGTGAACATTTAAACGACAAAAGTTATCATCCAATCTGTATGAAATTTATATGCATTATTTGAATTAGTAAAACGAAAAAGCCTGTCGAATTTGAACATTGAAATGTGGTCGTATATTGTCGTCGCCCCCGTCCGTCCGGCGGTCCGTCCGGCCGGCGGCCACATTTGCTTGTGGACGCTCTAGAGGCTAAAGTTAATATCCGATTGACTTCAAATTTATACACAGTGTTTAAGGTCATGAGACGAGGAAGCCTATTGATTTTCAGCGATTTCCGATAATTACTGCCAGAGTTATGGCCCTTGATCGCTTCAAAAAATCTTGTGGACGCTCTAGAGGTCAGAGTAAGATTGACTTTAAATTTATACACAGTGTTTAAGGTCATGAGACGAAGAATCCTATTGATTTTCAGCAATTTCCGATAATTACTTCCAGAGTTATGGCCCTTGATCACTTTGAAAAATCTTGTAAATGCTCTAGAGGCTAAAGTTAATATCCGATTGACTTTAGATTTATACACAGTGTTTAAGGTCATTAGACGAAGAAGCCTATTGATTTTCAGCGATTCCCGATATTACTGCCAGAGTTATGGCCCTTGATCACTTTGAAAAATCTTGTGGACGCTCTAGAGGCTAAAGTTAATATCCGATTGAGTTTAAATTTATACACAGTGTTTAAGGTCATGAGACGAAGAAGTTTATTCATTTTCAGCGATTTTCGATAATTACTGCCAGAGTTAAGGCCCTTGATCACTTTGAAAAATCTTGTAAATGCTCTAGAGGCTAAAGTTAATATCCGATCGACTTTAGATTTATACACAGTGTTTAAGGTCATTAGACGAAGAAGCCTATTGATTTTCATCGATTCCCGATAATTACTGCCAGAGTTATGGCCCTTGATCACTTTGAAAAATCTTGTGGACGCTCTAGAGGCTAAAGTTAATATCCGATTGAGTTTAAATTTATACACATTGTTTAAGGTCATGAGACGAAGAAGTTTATTCATTTTCAGCGATTTTCGATAATTACTGCCAGAGTTATGGCCCTTGATCACTTTGAAAAAATCTTGTAAAGGCTCTAGAGGCTAAAGTTAATATCCGATTGACTTTAAATTTATACACAGTGTTTAAGGTCATTAGACGAAGAAGCCTTTAGATTTTCAGCGATTTCCGATAATTACTGCCAGAGTTATGGCCCTTGATCACTTTGAAAAATCTTGTGGACGCTCTAGAGGCTAAAGTTAATATCCGATTGAGTTTAAATTTATACACAGTGTTAAAGGTCATGAGACGAAGATTTTCGATAATTACTGCCAGAGTTATGGCCCTTGATCACTTCAAAAAATCTTGTAAATGCTCTAGAGTAGGGTGACCCACCATAAATAAATATCTCCAAATATCTCGACAATTACGCCACAATATTTATATATATGCCAAGCCTCAAATCAGTTTCACACAATTATAGTCACTAAATAAACGATCATGTTGTACTTAATAAGCTATGACCATTAATCATCTATAAATAATAGACTGAAAACTGGTTCCAAGTTGCGTCCATAACATCCAGACACTTTTGAGTAAAAGATAGGTTACGTGCCCTTGTTTTGAAATTAGTCTCGCTTAACCAGTCTATCGACCATTCTACGTCTGATTGACAGGTCGGGATAATCAAGACTACTTTTTTACGAAACATAACAGAAAGCTAGAACAAGAAATTGAATTTAGAAATAAGCACTTTAGACAACTCAACAATTGTTTTAAGAAACTTGTAAAAGTAAAATGAAACTACTGCTAGTATCATGTTCCTGCTAAAGAAAGTGATTCAGAGATAGTATTTGTACTAAACCAAAAGATGCCGCTCTTAACGGTACAGTTAATGATAAAGCAATTTAAAAAATAAAACAAACGTAATTACTAAAGCTGCTGTAATAACCAAGAAGCTAAATTTTACTGCTATTCAAAATCGTCAACAATAGATTTTTTACGGCTGTAATAGTTGATATATTTGTAGAGAATTGCACGTGCCATGGCTATTTATCGACTCAAAGCGAGTGCGGGGTAGTCAGAAATCAGTTCGAGACACGCAACTGAAGCGTGCACATTTAGCCGTGTCGAGACCAACTTTCTGTAAAGTGCACGGGTCATCCTATCTAGAGGCTAGAGTTAATATCCGATTGACTTTAAATTGATACAGAGTGTTTGAGGTCATGAGATGAAGAATCATATTGATTTTCAACGATTTCCGATAATTACTGCCAAAGTTATGACCATTGATCACTTTTAAAAACATTGTTACCCTCTAGAAGCTAAAGTTATCATCCGATTGACTTCAGATTCATACACAGAGTTTAAGGTCTTGAGACAAACAAGTATATTGATTTGCAATGAATTTTTATGACTTGAACAGCTAAATCCATGATGTTAAAAGTTTCCTATACTAAACGTTAGCATGGGGCAAAACTTTATAAAAACCAAACCAATTCTAATGGTTTTCTGATAATTACTTAATGAGTTGTTACTTTTAATCAGATTTTAATGTATTATAAATGTTTCATTACCGAAAAAGTAAAAATATGTGACAATTCTTGTTGACTGCCCGGACGATTTAGCTGGTGTGGGCGTATGTTTCGTTGCCAGGCAACCTATCTTTAGAACCTTGTGTACCCTCAAACGACGAAAATTATAATGTCATCTGTATGAAATTGTCTATTAAATTCTCCTAATTACCTACAAAAGAATAAATATGTGACAACTCTTGTCGACTGCTCGGACTATTTGGCTGCCTTGGGCGAATGTTTTGTTGCCTGGCAACCTATCTTTAGAACCTTGTGAACCCTCAAACGACGAAAATTATAATGTCATCTGTATGAAATTGTCTTTTAAATTCCCCTAATTACCTACAAAAGAATAAAGATGCGACAACCCTTGTCGTCTGCTCGGACGATTTAGCCCTTAATCACTTTGAAATATCTTGTGATGCTCTAGAGGCTTATGTTATCCTCCGATTGACTTCAGATTGATACACAGAGTTTAAGGTCTTCTTGAGATGAACAAGTATATTGATTTTCAATGAATCAGCTAAATCCATGATATTATATGTTTCGTATGCTAAATGTCAGCATGGGGCAGAACTTTATAAAAACCAAATTCTAATGATTTTCTGATAATTACTTAATGAGTTGTTACTCTTAATCATATTTTAGTGTATTATAAATGTTTCATTACTGAAAAAAATAAAAAAATATGCGTCAATTCTTGTTGACTGCCCCGACAATTTAGCTGCTGTGGGCGTGTGTTTCGTTGCCTGGCAACCTATCTTTATAATCGTTACAATATAGTCCTTTGTAAAATTGCTTGTTTTTTGGGGGGTTTTTTGGGGTCATGTATGTTGCTGTTTTTGTTGTTCCCTCACTACATTAATTATCATCCCATCTTTTATTATTAAAAGTTGTCATCTGATCTACTTGAAATTTGCATGCCTTTTTCAGATTAGTGAAAAGAAGAAGCTTCCATTAAGCACTTGTAGGTTTAAGGCTCTTGATTGCATTGTAGGATTTTGTGAATACTTTAACAGGAATGGTCATCTGATCAATTTTAAAAATTTACATTCTTTGCTTTGTTCATTGCCAGGAATAAGTGTCATCAAATTACAACAATTTCTGGTATTTACTTCTATAGGTATTTTCTTGTTTGTGTCATAGAATTTTATCAATACTTCAATGATATTTTACTGTATAATGATTGGACTGCTTGGACAATTAAGCTGCTGTGGGCATATGTTTGATTGCAATTGCCTGAAAATTAAACCTATCCTTTTTCAGGTTAATATTTTTCTGAGGAGAGCCTTTTATGATTCAGTCCATAAGCTATACTGCTTAGCCTTTGCAGATTATCTGGAATATAGTATTGCTGAAAAAGTTGAAAAGAAATTAATGGAATATTCAGAAGAAAATACAGGTATTGTATACAAACACTTCTCTATGGCAGTTTATTTACTTTATAAATAAATTTTGTATCACATATTATAGTTGTATAGTTATGGTACGTGTTATTTATATTCCTACATAGAAATTCTCTGGGAAAGTCCTACATCCTAGACTTAATGTCTATACAAAGAAACCAATTGCCTATGATCGTGCATGTCATCTTTCACTGCTACATACAAAGATCTCTGTTTTTATGTCATGTTTTCATGTCAATAAAGAAATCTTTGGGCTTGTCACATGGTCACAACAAACAGATTTTTGTGGCATGATGATGGGAATTAACATGGGAGATACCCTTATAACTATAAACAGATAGTATGTTGTTATTGTTCTACAGATATGTCATGACAGTCATATTTTTACTAAATTTAGATGGCTAAATCAGATAAATTTTGTGCTGAATGTCAGATTCTTTTACATCAAGGAAACTGTTTCAAGACATTTCATGTTTTTGTACCTTTTTTTATTCACAATCTATTTAAATATTTGTTTCAAAACATCAAAATAATGATATGTACCCATTAGATAATAAAATACAAAGTAGATAATATCAAATCTTAGTATTTTGCCTTAAAATGGCTAGCAGCAGACATAATCCATTATGTTTATGCTCAGCATTGAAAGTGTTAATGTTAGGAAGAAATCTATCAAATTTTTATGATTTCCGATTACTTCAGGGGTTGTTGCAGTTGATAACTTGTTAGTATCTTAAAAATGTGCAAGTACACTATAAAGTACCATAAGGCAACAACCTATATGGACTGCTCTAATGTTTTGCTGCTATGAGGGTATGTTATATTGCTTGCCAACACTACCTTAAATTTTGTGATATGAGCTACTTTCAGGACAGGAAGAAATATAAGATTATATTTCTATCTTTGCTATCTATAATTTATTTTTATTTTCCCTTTATTAGATAAGCAATTTAAATTGGTGATTTTCTGTACGCAAGAGAATGAACTTAAAACCCGATTGGTTGCAGCTCTAGAGAAATATAGACAACCACCACCAGCTGTCTGTACTCCTAATTTAGTAGCAAACTATCTTACTGAACGACTTGTTTGCCAAGATGATACTTCAGCCTGTACTTTAGATTTCTCAAGGTAACAATCTTAAAGGTCTTAGGCCTAAGTTTTCATGATAGTTTTATTCTTTCACAACATGCATATGCATATGCCCAACTTAATATTATATAACATCAGTTAATATTTATGGAGTTATTGCCTTTGTTACAAAAATTCCATTTAAGGTTTTTATGGAATATACAAACAATAAGAAGTTTTTGACCAAAGTGAATGAAACTCGCAAATGTTTATTGTTATGTCATAATAAAGATGTGCTCTATTTAAGATTTAAGAATTTCAATTAATATTACCCCTGTTTCAATAATTCCATTTATCATTGATCTTAATGGAATGTATGATATTTGTTATAAAAAAAAGAATTATCTGAAAAATGTTTTTAGATCATCTGTGAGAGTCATTCAGTCTCAAAGAGCTGGTGTTGGTAAATCACTTTATGTGAAGAGATTAGTAGAGAAACTTAGAAAACATCATCCAAGGAAAAAAGATGTCAGTCTTAGTATACACTTATATGAGAAAGATGTTGATATTTCACATATAGTAGACACATTGATGATGTATCAACATTCACCAGAAGAATCAAATCCTGTTATATTCCATTTAGATATATCATCTGAGGTAAATATTTATGTCCTACATATTTTCGTTATTGCATTGTTAAACTTGTCATATCCAGGAAGAAGTACAAACCTCTGAAGTAACTTAAGCATTTAACTTTCGTCCTGACTTCCTTTTTGTTGCCCACCTTTGGGAGAATGAATTTGTCTGTCACACTTTTTGAAACCTGGCAACGGGGTGTTCTCATCCAGCTCAAAATATTGATTAAGGGGATTAAGGGTTTAGGGCTGGGGGATTATGGTCTGTAGCTGAAATGTGTTCACCTAATTAGATATGGATTAACCATTTAATAAGTGTCATGTGAACTGTTTGAACTAGAAGAGAGACTTCAAGCATTGAAAGATCAGTTCCGAAATGGTCAAAGAGACATCATGCTTTATGTAGATGCTGTATCTCATCTTGTCCATTTAGAGTAAAAAGTATGAAATGTTTACTTGCCCATATGAAATAAACATTTTTAATTTTGATGCTCATTTCATAGTGCTATTTAGTTATTTATTTTTTATATTAAGTTTTTCCATTTACATTAAAAGTGTTAAAATAAACATGTTTTATTATAATAAATGTTGAATAAAACATTATCAAGTGATTTTGTTTTACTATTAGGTATTAATCCTTCTTTAGAAATTCCAATTAACACCTTAGTCACGCTAACATGATTATTTAAGTTTTGAGTTGGGTGAGAATGAACCCTGGTAACTTTGCTTCTAATCAAGGTTTTATGTTTAAAGGAGCTAAATCACTAAGACTTTTGACCTAGAAATTGACAAAAGTGGGTCGCAAGACGTATAATAATGTAATATGAAATATATAAACTAATTTAATTACATTCAATCGTTTCCGTTTTGACTCTAATTTCAAATCAGTTATGTTCGGCGAAATAAGCCAGAAGTCTCAGTCGAATAGCAATCTTTAGCGTCTGGTTATTCCAGTCTATTGCGCATGATCTCCAGATAAGAATATGGCATCAGCGCTTGACATATATTTTGGAATCTCTAGTCTCGTTCTTTCTTGTCCCTTGTTAAAAATGACATTGAAACGCATTATGGTGTACCAATGGTAACATGTTTATTTTGTCTTAAATATTGGATATCAGAAGCCCATCTTTTTCCGGTAAGACCACAACATCAATGTTGATTTAAATTGACAAATAATTTGTGTTTTCAATGTGGAAGATTTTGGATGATATTGAGTTGGAGACTTAGCTACTTTAAACTTGGTATAATTAATAATGTTCATTGGGTTTAAAATCTTGACTAGGTGCCATTATGTGCAGTTTATAGTTAGGCTAAGCAGAGATCAGCAACTTGATTGATGTGTTGGAACACGATAAATTTGAACTTTGATTCTAATTGAATAAAATTGATGAAACTTGGTGTATTGTTTCATCACATCAATACCTTAATTAAGTTTTATAATGAGCATTTTCTGATCTGGTTAAGTATAATGTTATAAATGTGAAGATATGATGAATTTCATCTATATATTTTGGTTTTAAGCTTTATTGTTGGCTTCTTACTAAGATTTTATCTTCAGTTCATAAATTCCGAACAGTGATTTAAATCAAGATAATTATTCTATACAACCTTTTTTTAAGGTAAATATACATACTTATTTAGGAACAGCCATATTATCCTGTGAATATTTATGTTATATGATTTTTGAAATGTTTGCTAATATTTTTCTAGGTTTTAAATGGAGTAGATTTTCTGCTGTATAGTCTTTTGATACTTGGTTGTCTCAAGGATAAAGATGGACATGTTTGGACAAAATCACCTTCAGATTTATATGTTATTGAAAATATACCTTCTAGACACAATCCAGCAGATAAAAAGGTATCTTACAAAACTGCTCTACACAGAATCTTCATGATTGTTTGTATATGTTATGGATTTTAAATATTCTTAAATTATTTTGATTAAAGAATTTTTTGGTGAAAATGCCATGATAAATTCAGTGACAATCAAAGATGTCATAGAATATTTGATGTAAAGATGGCTAGATCTGTTTGATTTGTCTAAAAAAATAAAAATATGTATTTAAATAAATTGGTTGTTTTGAGTATCTGTCTACATATATAATTGTAGGTCCACAAATAAAGCCCATGTTTAGATGTAGCTGGTTTTGTGCTCATCAGTCAACAGTTTAAACCAAAATAGAAATTCGATGTAAACAAATAAGACAGATTTCCACATCATTATATTTCAAGATGAAAATTTAATCGTATAGAGATTGCCCCATCACTAATTGAAATAGCACATAAGACCAACCCTATTCAATAATTTTATTAAGAGCGAAATCAGTGGCCAGAAAGTTGTTTGTATAGTTGCTGTTCATTTACATACATATAAAACACAAGACAGTAGAGGTAGATTAAAATTTGAACATATATTTAAATGGTTTCAGATAAAGAAGTCTGTTCACCAGATATTCAGGATATTACCTAAGGTTAATTGTTGGTCACCTCTTGATACATTGAAAATTTTACAGGGAAATGAAGTCAGAGGTAATAAGTTATAGTTTTCTAACAGATTTTAAAACTGGTGATAGATCTAGCATTAGGGCTGGCAATCGATACCGATTTTACATATCAATATCGGCAACCATTTCTATGATATCGATATATCGGATAATTTGAAGTTGAAATAGGAAATAACTGTTTGGATGCTAATCATGTATTTAAATGTGTTATTGATTAAATAAAAAAAAACCTATGATCCTCAATCTATGTTTTCTTAATGTTTGTTTCATTCACAACTTATCTAATGGTGTTATTAACAAAATAGTATTCGCAGCTTCGCGCTCATCATCAATCACTGTTGACAATTTTCCTTATAACAATAAATAAATTTCTATTAAAATGGAGTTATTTCCCCTGAACAATTAACTAATTGTTCATTGTCATTGTTGTTAACGACCGCGAAAGATACTGGATCGGTGGTTGTACTTGGTGTGCGTGTTTTTTGTTTTGCATGATCTGACAATGAATATTTGATACCATACATTCCTTTAATTTCATTTTATTTAAACTCTTTTATTTTTTATACGAGTATCGATATCAAGAACTGAATATCGATATCAATATTTTCCAGTAGTTGCCGACGGTTATCAATACCGGATCGTGGTTGTAACTTGGCGAGCATGTTTTTCATTTTGAATGATCTGATGATGAATATTTGATACCATACATTCCTTTAATTTCATTTTATTGAAGCTCCTTTAATTTTTATACGAGTATCGATATCAAGAACTGAATATCGATATTTTCCAGTAGTTGCCAACGACTATTGGCTATATCAATATTTTTCGCCAGCCCTATCTAGCATACAGTATGCAAGATTCTCTGTGTATGCAATTGTCACACTGGTTAATGCACATGCCTTGCTATTTTTTTATTATAAAGCTTTGCACTTATTAAGGATTTATGTGCACATATTAAGTGAAAAACTAAACATAGTTGAGATTAGCATTTTGTCTTTTTAATGAGGATTCTCCCTCCTGATACCCCTGTATATAACTGAATAGTGTATGTTGATTTACTTGATATTGTATTAAAGGTTATGAGTAGAATATTGTTACAATCTTATAATGTGAAGATATCTTGTTCTACAATCATATTTTTTTTATATGACTGAATATAATTTCGATTATCATATTACAGATTATCATAATGACAGTTTGTTTGATGAGATAGAATTTGCAAGTGAAATATTTCAAAGACCTTTCCAGTATCTATTAAAACTGGAAAAAGGAGAGCGTTTGAGCATGATAAATGCTGGTGAACCTGAAGGAACTCCAGTGGATTGTTTGAATATACTTCTAAGGTACAATACAAATAATCGTTCAAGTATAGGATTAAAAGGTGTCTTAGAAAATATTTGAAATGAGAACGTGTGTACAAGGCATGATACATGTGGTTTTTTGTTCTTAATCTTATTCTATTTTCAGCCATTGTGGTATTCAAGATCCATCTTGGGCTGAAATTCATCATTTTGTGTGGTTTCTGAATACACAATTAAAAGACTTTGAAACATCAAGTTTTTGCAGTGCAGCTGTGGCTGATGATCTTCCGGGATTTTCCAAATTTGTACTACAGTTCTCCATAGAAATGTCAAGAGTAATATATTCTTTTTCTATTGTGTATAATTTTCTTCTTTAAATATATGATATTATACTGTAAATAACAAGAAATATTCTGGAGACACCATATTCCAGGCCAAAAGACAAATTCTTATATCTTGTCATAAAGCTAGCCTGCAGTTGTATATTGTCATATACCTTTACCAACAAAAGAATGAAAAGGTGACAACCATTATGGACTGCTTCGAAAACTTAGCCGCTGTTTGCATACTTTTTTTCTGCCTGGCAACCCTATCTTAAATATTAAACTAACAATTTTACTCTTTCTTTTTTTTATTTTTTTTTTTAAAGGATTTTGCTACCAGGTCACTTAACATGAGTGAAGAAACTCCATTAACAAATGACACTAATACAGATGAAACAGCTGACTTAACTCAGTTTCAGATAAAACGACACTGGGAATCAAGGTATTGCAACAATTTTATCCAATGTTCTGTTGTATGAAATTGATTGGTTTATGAATTGAGATAATGCTTAAAATAGTTATACAGTGGACTCTGTCAAATCCGACATCGTACGGGATCGTTACGATATGTCGGATTACGCAGAGTGTCGGAATACACTGTTTTCTGTAAGCCGGAAGTATTATTGTAACTTTGAAAACCGGAAGTATTATTATAATGTAGCTTCGAATTCCTAGACCGTTATTCCCTTTAAAAATGATAATCCTTTCTGTACATTCAAAATTTTATTACATTAATTTTTATTTCATTTAACATGCGTAGGCATTTTGAATAGGTCAAGTCTGTCGTTAATTTATCTTCTTCATCGTCTTCAGTAGATCGCACACTTGTCTTTGGTGTCACATGTTCATTGATAATTTTTCGTTCTATGTCCAGGTCATCCGTCACTTGTTTGGATAGATCCGTAGGGTGAAGAAACTTAGGTATTGAGGTTCAATCGGCATGCGCAACGAATGTTTCCAACAGGTGCTGGAATATTTTTACGACTGTGAATAATTCGTTGGAAAATTCGTGGTATTCTTGAGTATTTGTCACAACTGTCTTACAAGAGATTATAAAATTATCAAAGTAATCAACAAAGACCTATGCGAGCGAGTTTTAATCTCGCCGATAATTGATTGGTAATTGCTTGTTAATCTTTTGTGGCTTCACACCCATCGATTGAAGGCCGGATTATACAGTGTTGATTCAATGGAAATCATGTGATGGGACAGCTGATTGATGTCGTAATTCGGAATATTCAGAGTACGGATTACTCAAAGATTTTTTGGCTGAAATAATAAGTAAATAAATGGGGACATGAAAATGATATCAGATTTCACAGAGTGCCGGAGTATTCAGAGGTCGGATGTGACAGAGTCCACTGTATACCTAATCAGATGGCTTAACCAGTAAGCACAATTTTAAATTAGTGAGTGGATGACATTTTTATACGCTCAAATTTTCATGTGGACATATTATACCTTCACCCCTGTCCGTCCGTCCGTCCGTCTGCTTGTTTATGGACACTGTACAGGTCACAATTTATATCCGATTTTGACAAAACTTGAAATATAGGTCTATCTTCCAAAGACCTCGGTTCCTTTCGATATCAGCATGTATTGGACCATAACTTCATGGATTATGACCCCTGGCTGTATGAAAAATCACGTTTTAGCTTGTGAACACTCTAGAGATCACAATTTTCATCTGATTTTGATGAAACTTGATATGCATGTTTATAACCCAAAGATCTTGGTTCCTTTCGATATTCATGCATATCGGATTGTAACTTCCTGAAATATGGTCCCTGATTGTACGAAAAATCATGTTTTTAGCTTGTGGTCCCTCGAGAGGTCACAATTATTATCCAATTTAAAAAAACGTTCGAATATATCACTGTTACAGCATAATTATGGTTGAGTTCAAAATTCTTGAAAATCGGACCAAAACTGCTGGACAAAATGGCCGCCCCTCGTACGCAAATTACTGAAAGATATGGTACAACAAGGTTGTGGACCCTCTAGAGGTCACAGTTTTCATCCGTTTTTGATGAAACTAGAAATGCATGGTTCCTGTCGATATTTGCGCATATCGGATCATAAATTCCTGAATTATAGCCCCTGAATGTACGAAAAATCACGTTTTTAGCTTGTGGTTCCACCGCGGTCACAATTTTTATCCGATTTAAAAAAACGTTCCACTATATAACCGTTACACCATAATATCAGTTGAGTTCAAATTCGGACCAAACCTGCCTGACAAAATGGCCGCTCCTTGTACACAAATAGTGTAAAATATGGTATATCAACAGAACACAGTTTTATGGGATACAACATGGGTACTGTAAACATTTTTAAATTCTATTAATGAATTTCTATTTTTCTTTTGAACATACAATTATATACGATAAGAGGATACTTATCGAACCGTCATGCTTTTAGAATAACACTAGTGATTGTATCCCATAAACACTGTTTTCTGTTAATGTGTTTACCTATCGCTAAATGCCACTCAAAGATTATGGTATATCAAGGTTGTGGACCAGTGATGGGATTTCAAAATTTTTCTTGTCAGACATTTTTACCGAAAAAAATGGGGCATAACTCTTATCATTATTTAAGCAGGCGGTTTCAGATGACAATTAAAAATCATGTGTCAGCAAAATATTCAAATTCGTACGTAATAAAAAAAATAGGTGCGCCTCATTATTTTTCATATTTAATTCCCGTACGGTATTCAAATTTGTGTCAGTAATATTCCTACAAAATTACGTGTTGTCGTAATACGATAGAATGGAAGCGTGCCGACTACTGTCAACCTGTACTTTTGTTCAAAATCACCTCCAAAATGAACGTATTTTCCAGGGTATAAGTCGATACTTTTTTCAGCAGAAATCCGGCATTCGTCTTATACTATGTTTTGACTTCTATATGGATGGAGGTAAAAAAAAAAAAAAAGACAATTTTTTTGGCAGTGATAGTCGCTCCACGATATCAAGTCAGCACTCGCACGCGCTATCGTGTAAAACAATTACCTACTTACCTATTCCAATCAAAATATTTGTCGACATTTCTCAGCTTGCTTATTTCTCTTTTTGTCCCCCGCCTTTCGAAGAAAGCAGGGGACTATTAAAATGGGTTCGTCCGTCTGTCTGTCTGTCCGTCTGTCCGTCACACTTTTTGGGACACAATAACTCTCTTCCTAATTGAGCTAGAATGTTCAAACTTGGTGTATGTGTTTATTAGGTCAATGCCTTGATGGAGTTCGAAGATGAGCATTTTCCGCTTAGGGTAAGCAGAGATAAGCAATTTGATTGGTTGATGCTTTGGGACACGATAACTCTCTTCCTAATTGGGCTAGAATGTTCAAACTTGGTGTATGTGTTGATTAGGTCAATGCCTTGATGGAGTTCGAAGATGAGCATTTTCCGCTTAGGGTAAGCAGAGATAAGCAATTTGATTGGTTGATGCTTTGGGACACGATAACTTTTAATTGAGCTAGAATGTTCAAACTTGGTGTATGTGTTGATTAGGTCAATGCCTTGATGGAGTTCGAAGATGAGCATTTTCCGCTTAGGGTAAGCAGAGATAAGCAATTTGATTGGTTGATGCTTTGGGACACGATAACTTTAGTTCTAATTAAGTGAGATTGATGAAACTTGGTGTATAGTTTCATTACAGTAATACCTTGTTATCTAAATTATCCCCCTTTGGTGATACAGTTTTTAGCATATAAACTAGATAATAATTATTCGGTTGACACACAATCAACGGCATAGAATACACGATGGCACAAGCTATAATAATTATTGATATAAAATATTATTTTATCGCAATTTAGCTGATATATAACTGGATAGCCCTCATAAATAAGTAGTGGAAGGAGGGAATCGATTTTCATATTCCGTTTTCCTGCAAATGTTATTTAACTTCTTTATTATATAATATTTGTATTTTTGTCCCCCGCCTTTCGAAGAAAGCAGGGGACTATTAAAATCGGTGTGTCTGTCCGTCTGTCACACTTTTTGGGACACAATAACTCCTTCTAACTGAGCCAGAATGTTCAAACTTGGTGTAGGTGTTTATTAGGTCAATGCCTTGATGGAGTTCAAAGATGAGCATTTTCTGCTTAGTGTAAGCAGAGATAAGCAATTTGATTGGTTGATGCTTTGGGACACGATAACTTTAGTTCTAATTAAGTGAGAGTGATGAAACTTGGTGTATAGCTTCATTACATCAATACCTTGACTAAGTTCGATAATGAGCATTTTCTGCTTAGGGTAAGCAGAGCGATAAGCAATTTGATTGGCCGAGACTTTGGAACACAATAACTCCCCTTCTAATTGAGGTAGAATGTTCAAACTTGGTGTAGGTGTTAATTAGGTCAATGTCTTGATGGAGTTCGAACATGAGCATTTTGTGCTTAGGTTAAGCAGAGATAAGCAATTTGATTGGTCAAGATTTTGGAACACAATAACTCTCATTCTAGTTGAGTTAGAATGTTCACACTTGGCGTAGGTGTCTGATAGGTGAATGCCTTGATGGAGATTGAAGATGAGAATTTTCTGCTTAGGGTAAGCAGGGATAAGCAATTTGATTGGTTGATGCTTTGGGACACGATAACTTTAGTTCGAATTAAGTGAGAGTGAGGACACTTGGTGTATAGCTTTATTACATCAATACCTTGACTTAGTTCGATAATGAATATTCTCTGCTGTCATGTCATGGCTGAGTTCAATGATTTACATTAGTCGATGCTTTGGGACAAGATAACTTTGATTCTATCTGATGGAGAGTGCTGAAACTTAGTGTATAGTTTGATTGCTCGATACTTTTGAAAAAAATAAATGTGCGATTAATAAATATGTGTCATCTATTTATTTTTGGATTTCGGCGGGGGACATCAGCCTCACTGTTGGCTTGTTTAAACATAAACCCCACTCAAAATATTATCATAAACCAGAGAATATGCCATCAAAATAGAATCTTTCCGCCATCGTGATAATTGTCACGTCTACATCTCTTGTAATTTCACGCATCTCGCGTGTGGACGCTCTAGAGGCTAAAGTTAATATCTGATTGACTTTAAATTTATACACAGTGTTTAAGGTCTTGAGACGAAGAAGCCTATTGATTTTCAGCGATTTCCGATAACTACTGCCAGAGTTATGGCCCTTGATCACTTTGAAAAATCTTGTGGACGCTCTAGAGGCCAAAGTTAATATCCAATTGACCTTAAATTTATACACAGTGTTTGAGGTCATGAGACGAAGAAGCCTATCGATTTTCGACGATTTCCGATAATTACTGCCAGAGTTATGGCCCTTGATCACTTAAAAAAATCTTGTGGACGCTCTAAAGGCCAAAGTTAATATCCGACTGACTTTAAATTTATACACAGTGTTTAAGGTAATGAGACGAAGAAGCCTATTGATTTTCGGCGATTTCCGATAATTACTGCCAGAGTTATGGCCCTTGATCACTTCAAAAAATCTTGTGGATGCTCTAAAGACCAAAGTTAATATCCGATTGACTTTAAGTTTATACACAATGTTTAAGGTCATGAGACGAAGAAACCTATTGATTTTCAACGATTTCCGATAATTACTGCCAGAGTTATGGCCCTGATCACTTCAAAAAATCTTGTGGATGCTCTAGAGGCTAAAGTTAACATCCGATTGACATTAAATTTATACACAGTGTTTAAGGTCATAAGATGATGAAACCTATTGGTTTTCAGCGATTTCTGATAATTACTGCCAGAGTTATGGCCCTTGATCACTTCAAAAAATCTTGTGGATGCTCTAGAAGCGAAAGTTAATATTCGATTGACTTTAAATTTATACACAGTGTTTAAGGTCATGAGACGAAGAAGCCTATTGATTTTCAGCGATTTCCAATATTTGCTGCCAGAGTTATGGCCCTTGATCACTTTGAAAAATCTTGTGGACGCTCTAGAGGCCAAAGTTAATATCCGATTGACTTTCAATTTATACACAGTGTTTAAGGTCATGAGACGAAGAAGCCTATTGATTTTCAGCGATTTCCGATAATTACTGCCAGAGTTATGTTCCTTGATCACTTCAAAGAATCTTGTGGATGCTCTAGAGGCTAAAGTTAATATCCGATTGAGTTTAAATTTATACACAGTGTTTGAGGTCATGAGACGAAGATTCCTATTGATTTTCAACGATTTCCGATAATTACTGCCAAAGTTATGGCCCTTGATCACTTTGCAAAATCTTGTGATGCTCTAAAGGCTAAAGTTATAATCCGATTGACTTCAGATTGATACACAGAGTTTAAGATCTTGAGACGAACAAGTATATTCATTTTCAATGAATTTTTATGACTTAAACAGTTAAATCCATGATATTAAAAGCTTTGCATACAAAACGTTAGCATGGGGCAAAACTTTATAAAAACCAAACAAATTCTAATAGTTTTCTGATAATTACTTCGTGAGTTCTTGCTATTAATCAGATTTTAGTGTATTATAAATGTTTCATTACCGAAAAAAGTAAAAATATGCGACAACCCTTGTTGACTGCCCGGACGATTTAGTTGCTGTGGGCGTATGTTTTGTTGCCTGGCAACCTATCTTTGATTATTGTATTATAACCATTTGTGTGTGTGTTTGTGTGTGAAATAGCTTTATTTAATGTCCGCTTCCACCGAAGTGATATCGTAGACAAATTAACGGATATATTGATTTACAAGTTAACGGATAATATATTGATTTGGGGTGTTATATACTCTTACAATATGTGACATCTATGATTAGTTTATGCATATATATTCGGCTGACATCAATGGGATTAAAATGTTCGACAATGGAGAAACCACGAGGTAAACACGTAGATTAAAATGATAATAACTCTTACTGGATTGATGAATAGTCCGACAAAGGGGAAGCAATGACTTCTGTTTAAGATTAGATTGATGGATTGTCCGACAAAGGATTAAGTAGTTAATCAAGGTAGGTGTATAGACGGTGTATAGACGGTATAAGACGATAAATACGTTGATCACATAATTACCTAATCAATCCAGCCTATTATCAACGATAATCGGGTTGAGTGGTAGTTATACACTCAGTACACTATATTAATTTTGGAATTTTGAATATTATTCACCATGTCTTGATGTCCGATTGGGCATATTCCTGGTCAGACAATTTAGGACGTTTGGAAAATAGTGTCGGACATGTCTGGAATATACTGGCGAAATCCCATCACTGTATATCAAGGTTGTGGACACTATAGAAGTCACAATTTTGATCCGATTTTGATGAAACTTGAAATATATGTTTATAACCCAAAGATCTTGGATCCTGTCGATATTCGTGCATATCAGACTGTAACTTCTTGGATTTTGCCCCCTGATTGTACGAAAAATTGCAGTTTTTAGCTTGTGGATTCTCTAGAGATCACAATTTTTATCTAAATTTAAAAAACGTTTAAATATTTCACCATTCTACCATATTGAAGGTTGAATGCGAACTTTGGAAAAATCAAAACGAAACTGCCCGACAAAATGGCTGCTCTTTAGGCACAAATTGTGTAAAAGTATGTAATACGAAGGTTGTGGACCCTTTAGAGGTCACAAGTTTTATCCGATTTTGATGAAACTTAAAATATATCTTTATATCCCAAAGATCTCTGTCCCTTTCGATATTTGCGCATTTCACACCATAACTTTCTGGATTATGGCCCCTGATTGTACGAAAAATCGCTTTTGTTTTTAGCTTGTTCTCTATCCATCTCTTGCAAAATGTGGGCGTATCTTGCCTGGCAACCATTGGTTTTTAGCTTGTCACGGTTGTCTAGTTGGAACACTTCACCAATTACTAGAATTAAAATTTCTTCATGCACCAAAATTAACTTAATTAGTATTCTGCAAATTGTACTTAAAGCTACGTTCCCAGAAAAGTATTTATCGGGTGGTTATTTCAAATAAAAGTATGGCAATTTTGGTATATATGGAACGTAGAAATATCCAATCTTACTAGAAAAATACTGGATTCCCTGAAAAACACTCATGGAGGGCATACAGGACAAAAATGTAAGGGTTTCCCTAATCGACAGCCTGACGATTAGGAGTGTCTGCACGCGTGACATCAAAGGTTGCACGCGGAGATAAACTTTATGAAGAATTAGACTTTCTGAGATAAAATTCACGGAAAGAGACGTGGGTGGTGGATAATCCGAGAATTTAATTAGGCTTCGATATTTGTAATAAATAGTCAGCGATTAAAGACAACATCGTATTGTGTACGCAATGAATTCTCCTCCTACTTCGCATCGGTACTGAGAGAGGTAAGTCACGTGACACAAACATAACCTCTTTTGATCGATTTTTTATAGCCAGGGTATTCCTGACAGTTGCAATGTTTTGAGAAGCATTTGAAGCAAAATTTAGTCTGAATATGTTTTTAGTCCAAATATATCATCAAATCACCCAGTTTGTACCTTTAAAACTTGTGTCCATATAAACTGAGATTATTATTGCAACTTTTCGTTTCTTTGTTTCCAGTCCACATCCTTACATATTCTTTAATCCTGATCACCACTCAATGACCTTCCTAGGATTTAATATTGATAAAAGTTCTGGAAATCTGATTGATCAACAGACGGGTCACATTCTCAAAACTAATCTGGTGTCAAAAAATCTTTATGATAGTTTAATCAGAAATCGGGTAATATTGAATGAAAATTTCAATGCTTTACCAAGGTAATGTATATTCCTTATCTAATTATTAATTATTCTCTGTATCCCTCATATTTACAAAGCAATTAATAGTATTAAGTGTTATTGGCTCATTAAGCATTGCCATGCTTTATTGCAATTATAGGTTCGCTGGCTGCCCAATGTTTTTACATCATATTCTGTTTATCTTGTGATATTTATACATCCATAAAATGAGCATCGCTTAGGCTTTTCAAAACAAGCTGTGTTAACAGAAAAAAATGTTAGTCAAAGCCTTCCCTCTTTTTATGGTTAGCCAGCTGTTAAGTAGGTGCCAGACCTGTGGAAAGATAACAAATGAGAAATGACACTTTAACATAGCAATGGTTCATGGACTGATAATGCTCATAACCATAATTTCTTCATGAATATGTGTATTCCTTTGTAATTTATAGTTATACAGTCTGTCATGGATTTGAGAATATATTCAAACTGTAAACCAAAAATGCTGTTAAAGCTAAAAGTAAATCTTATGGTCAAGTATTACACAATAAAGACTCTTTTCTTCCTCTTCAGATTGGATCGAATATCCAAATTATGTTCTGTAATGGGAATAGATGTACTTTTTGATCCTGATCCTTCCTATGAGCTGACACCAGACAATGCAAAGAAAATACTAGCTATATATATGAGATTCAGGTACAGATTTTACATGCCCACAATTCTTGTAAATGCTCTACAGCCATGTATTTTTTTTAGATTTTGTGTTTGTATAAGTAATAAAAAGATAGGTTGCCATGCAACGAAACATATGCAGCTAAATCGTCAGAGCGGTCAACTTGGGTTGTCACATATTTAATCCTTTGTAACTGAAACTTTGTAATCCTGCAAACTGAAACAAAGGTCTTTACTCTGGAAGTAATATACAAAAATTGTTGAAATTCGACAGCCTTTTCATTTTACTAAGTTAAATAATGCACATAAATTTCATACAGGCTTTTTCATATAGATCGGATAATGACTTATCGTTCGAGCGTTCACATTGTTCAACAAAGTAAAACAAGGCCCATAACTCGAAAAGTAGTTATTGGAAATTGGTGAAATTCAATAGGATTCTTGGTTTCACTAATTTAAATGATGCATATAAATTTCATACAGATCTGATGATATCTTTCATCATTTGAGCTTTCACAAGGTTCAACAAAGTTAAACAAGTGTGATAAATTAACAGAAATTCCTGACAATCAAATGCTTCTTCGTTTCAATAATTTAAAGGATGCATACAAATTTCATACACATTGGATTATAACTTTTGTCGTTGAAGCATTCACAAAGTGCAACAAAGTAAAACAAAGGCCATAACTCTAGAAGTAATTAACAGAAATTGCTGAAATTCAATAGGATTCTTTGTTTCACTAATTTAAATTATGTATATAAAATTATAACTTTCGTCATTCAAGCTTTCACAAGGTTCAGCAAAGTGAAAGGAGGGCCATAACTCGAGATGTAATGAACGGAAATTGCTTAAATTCAATAGGATTTCTCATTTCACTAATTTAAATAATTCATATAAATTTCATACAGATCGGATGATAATTTTTATACACTCACATAGAAATGTGGACGTATATTGCCGTTCGTCCATCCATCGTGCACAATTTCTTGTTAATGCTCTATCGCCAAAAGTTATCATCCAGTTGTTTTAAAATTGATGTATGTTGTTTACATTAGTGAGATAAAGAAGCCTATTTAATTTCAAAATAATTTCTGTTAATTTCTTCTGGAGTTATGACCCTTGTTTCATTTTATTGAACCTTGTGAACGCTTCTGACAAAGATATGTTGCCAGGCAATGAAACATATGCCCACAGCAGCTAAATCGTCCAAGCGGTCAACAAGGGTTGTCGCATATTTATTCCTTTGTAGGTAATTGGGGCCCTTTACAAGACAGTTCCATACAGATCAGATTATAATTTTTGCCGTTTGAGGGTTCACATTAGTTCACAAGGTTCTACAAACTGAAGTTATCATCCAGTTGTTTTAAAATTGATGTATGTTGTTTACATTAGTGAGATAAAGAAGCCCATTTAATTTCAATAATTTCAGTTTATTATGTCTAGAGTTATGCCCTTGTTTCACTTTGTTGAACCTTGTGAATGCTCTAATGCCGAAAGTTAACATCCGATCTTTGTGAAATTTATATTGCAATATTTAAATCAGTGAAACGAAGAAGCTTATTGAATTTCAGCAATTTCCGTTTATTACTCCTAGAGTTATGGCCCTTGTTTCACTTTGTTTAACCTTGTGAACGCTCTAACCCTAAAAGTTATCATCCTATCTTTCTGAAATTTATATACATTATTTAAATTAGTGAAACGAAGAAGCCTATTGAATTTCAGCAATTTCTGTTTATTAGTCTAGAGTTATGGCCCTTGTTTCACTTTATTGAACCCTGTGAACGCTCTAACGGCAAAAGTTATCACCCAATCTTTGTGAAATTTATATGCATGATTTAAATTAGTGAAACAAAGAAGCCTATTTAATTTCAATAATTTCTGTTCATTAAGACTAGAGTTATGGCCCTTGTATCACTTTATTGAACCTTGTGAATGCTCTAACGCCAAAAGTTATCACCCAATCTTTGTGAAAAATGCCAAAAGTTTTCATCTGATGTTTCTGAAATTTATATGCATTATTTAAATTAGTGAAACTAAGGAGCTTATTGAATTTCAGCAATTTCTGTTTATTATGTCTAGAGTTATGGCCCTTGTGAATGCTCTAACATCAAAAGTTATCTGCCGATCTGTATGAAATTTACATGCGTCATTTAAATTTGTGAAACAGAGGTCTATTGAATTTCAGCAATTTCCGTCAAAATTTCTAGAGTTATGGCGGTTGTGAACCTTGTGTACGTTTGAACGACAAAAGTGATCATCTGATCTGTATGAAATTTATATGCATTATTTAAATTAGTAAAACGAAAAAGCCTGTCAAATTTCAACAATTTCTGTAGATTACTTCCAGAGTTGAGACCCTTGTTTCAGTTTGTAGAACCTTGTGAACCCTCAAACGGCAAAAATTATAATCTGATCTGTATGGAACTGTCTTGTAAAGGGCACCAATTACCTACAAAGGAATAAATATGCGACAACCCTTGTTGACAGCTCGGACGATTTAGCTGCTGTGGGCATATGTTTCATTGCCTGTCAGCCTATCTTTTTAAGAGCGTCCACATGGTGCAATAAAGTGAAACAAGGGTCATAACTCCAGAAATTAACAGAAATTATATTGAAATTAAATAGGCTTCTTCATCTCCCTAATCTAAACAACATAATCAATTTCAAAACAATCTGATGATAAATGTGGTCTGTAGAGTGTTCACAAGAAATTGTGGACGACGGTCGGACAGGGCAGACGGGGGCGTAATAAAATGATCGACCCTATAGAAATTCAAGATTCAATTTTATATGGAGTTATTGCTCCGGTCACTGAAACCTTGTAGACAGACTACAGGTTAGATTCTTTTCTAAAGGAGGACGGAGGGGCTGACAAGGACAGCTGTCTAGTCATTCGGATGAGATGGTAAACCGAGGTCCCGTGTACACATTGGCGTGCACGTAAAAGATCCCTGACAGTTGGAATTCGATATGAGAGTAGGCCGTAGTGCCGCTGTCCGGGCAAAATTTCCCTCATAGCACCCAGTTTGGAGCAAAACAGTAGGACGTTAAACCCCACCTCATTTCATTTCATTTCCATTCATATATCAGTAAGTAGGAAGTTAAACCCCATTTCATTTCATTTCATTTCATTTCATATATCAGTTATTGGGAATAGTGAGTATTATAGTAAAGATGGCATTTTCACAATGGTAGCTCAAGAGTTATTATCTTTGACTGATATGTTATTGAGTATTCATAAAATATTGAGTAACAGTTTGTTGTGCTTGTTGATTTTCAACATTTTCACAAAAATAGTTCCGGAGTTATTGTCCCTCAATGATATGATTGTTAATGAACTTAAAGTACCGTAATCATACTCACTCTACAGAGTAAAATTCTAAACCTATTTTAGTTGACAGCTCACTTTCCCCACATCTATTGTTTAGAGTCTGGGTCCACCAGGCCATGACTAATTAATCAACAAAGGGGGTTTAAAGTATAGTCTGTAACAAGTTTGTGACACTTCAACAAAATGATTTAAATAATATTAATGAAAAAGATTACATGTAAAAAAAATACATATACTATGGTAGGGTGGTTCGTGCAAATAACAAAAATCCAATAAACGAGCTATATTTGGGACTTATTTTAACAAATATGATAAGACTTACCGTTAAAATCATCATTCATTAACAATTAAACTATTGCTAAGTTGAATATTTGTGTGATTTGGCCATTTGAATGGGACTTTCTAATAATATGGAAAAGTTGATCGGCCAAGTAGCGTTACAGCGGTAGATTTTTTCATTAAAAAGAGTTATGTTTTTTGGTCACATCAAAGTTTCAAATTTTGCTCTGGAAAACGAATTCTTAATTTCCGCAGTCGGCTCTTTCGTTCTTTTACGTACGTACAATTAACGATTGAATTTAACATTTGTACGCGTGTGCAGCCCTTAGTGAGAGAGAGAGAGAGATGTCTGTATTTTGAGCTGATTTTTTTAACGTTTACATGCAATAGACTATAGTTAAAACTTTCTAATAAGGGGTGAATTTCGTGGTTTACAAACGCAGTATGTAGAGAGTGCTTACCGTACTCATATTGTAGATGTTAAATATCCTTTATGATAATCCTACGTGTATTTTGTTTGAAATAATTATCACAAATATAAAAATCACACACATCAAAAACAGAGGAGCACACGAGCAAAGAAAAAAAGCCTTAAGCATTTTCAAATCGGTTCGACAGCAGTGGTCCAAATGTCTAGCGTTGCATCCGGAATTCCGTATAAGAATCTACTTAGAAGTCAAAAATGCGACTCCTACACATTGTGCTCTAAACTGTGTTTTAAATTATAGAATAAACCGTAAATCCATTGAACCCATTTCAAGGTGGAACTGCATGCTTTTTGATATGATTGGGCTATTTGTCGTGCCAGATAATCCAAAAATAGAAGTTACAATGCGTTACAATGCGTCTCGAAAAATTCTTTGATCTGTTATATGACTGGAAAATTCTGTTATTAAAAACAACCGACATGGCAATGACTACATAATAAGTTGGAAGTTCTACAATAGGGATCTTTTAGTGAAATGTTAGAGAAATTTAAGTTTAAATATATCCTTTGTGTTTGAATTACCACTTATGGTTGGTTGTGTCGTATTATGTATCAATCTGGAAATTTCTGTTTTATAGCTATTGTTCTCGAAAGTAAGACGCACAATTTACGCATTGTGTCGCGTTTTCATATTTTTAATAATTATGAAACAGTCAATGCGCGTCTTTTAGGAAATATATTTCAGTTCTAGAAAAAAGAGTTGTTGCTGGATTTATAATAACTGAAACGTTTTGTAACCACCATGTTAGAAATGGCGAATGCATAAGGATACTAAACACGAATGGCATAGCCATAATGGCACATCCTCCTATTAAATTTGACACAAAACTGGAGGCCAAATTCGCAGCACCCTAAAATGATTAGAATCCGAGTCTTGTGACCAGTACAGTCATTTTATTTTAATCATACACGTCTGATTAATCGAGACTAGGGAAAATAATTTCGTTCAATTAATTTCCAGTCTCAATTTTTTTTCTGCATATTTAGAGCTAGCAACAATGTAACTTCTAAAGTAACTAAAGCGCCCACTAACAACAGAGTTTTACGGTTAAATAAAAGTAACTTTCACAGTCTTGCAGTGTCGGTATGTTGCCACGAAAGTGGATTTAAAAGATAGAAAAAGGGCGAAACTACATGAGTTGACTCTGAACCGAGAACCGTTACCATATATACGTCATTGGTTACAATCAACTAACTTAGAAATTAAATCGCCGAGTTTTAGCCAAAATTTTAATCTAGTTAACTACTTATTTTTATAAGACCAACTAGTAAAGAATAATTTTTTTACATGGCTTCATTGATAAATAAGTGAATGAATATTGTCACATGAATGTCTATTTTGGGCGACTGTTTGCTGCTTACAGTGCACGAGCGAGCCTGTGAGAGCACTTTTCTCATAAACCAAGTTTTGATCCGTGTGACAACATGCTGTTAAAACAGGTCAGTTTATATAGTACAGCTAATTGAGTGTGTGGGCCACTCTAAATATGGATTCTTATAGTATACCATTTCCAGAATTTTAATAATATACAAATTAATACATATATAATATATTAAATATGTAATAAGTACAAATATATAATAAATATATATATGTTATAATATAATAAGTAATACATAGTAACTGCATATATTAAAATGAATAAATGAATAAATAAATACATTTTTATAGTATAAATATTTATAAACAGTTTGATAAACATGACAATTCACAGTCCAACAAAATTCATAGCAGTGTTGAGGTATTCAATGGGTGTCCTGGATGTAAATTTATTAGTAAACTGATTTCACCAATTTGCCCAATCTACTGATAGTGGGAAGTGTTCACCAGTAACAATAATTAGAGAGGAGTTTACACCAGTGATATTAATTAATTAGAACAGACTATAGTTCTACACCCACAGTCTAGTAACCTCCTAATCCTTTATCAAAACAATCAAATGTGGGGAAAGTGAGGTTAAACCATTAACCCATTTATCCCTAGAGCCAATTAAAAGATTACCAACCTACCCCTAAGCTCATTAAATTAGCAGGGCTCATCTCCCTAAGCCAATTAGTGGATTAATGTTAATCCTAATACCCTCTACAAAATTGCAAAAAAAAAAAAATTTCTATACAAAGAAATACTCTGTTACAAAAATGTACCAGATTGTGGTGTTCTTTCCAATGATATAAAATTCAATTGTACAAAGTACATATTGAAAGTCAGTTCCACTAAATTATGACTTTTCTCTGTCATAATGGTAAAATAACGTGAACAAGTATTCCCTAAGTATTTTTTTTTTTTTACACGTCCACATTTTCATGTGGACGTATATTGTCGTCGCCCCTGTCCGTCCGTCCGTCCACAATTGTTTGTGAACAGTCTACAGGTCACAATTTTTATCCGATTTCAACGAAACTTGAAATATAGGTTTATCACCCTAAGATCTCGGTTCCTTTCGATATTGGCATGTATCGGACTGTAACTTCATGAATTATGGCCCCTGATTGTACGTAAATCACGTTTTTAGCTTGTGGACCCTATAGAGGTCACAATTTTTATCCGATTTTGTTGGAACTTGAAATATAAGTTTATAACCCAAAGATCTCGGTTCTTTTCGATATTCGCACATATCGGACTATAACTGCCTGAATTATGGCCCCTGATTGTACGAAAAATCGCGTTTTTAGCTTGTGGACCCTATAGAAGTCATAATTTTTATCCGATTTAAAAACCTGTATTATTGTATCACCGTTACACCCTAAGGCCGACTGAGTTCAAATTTCGTGCAAATCGGCCCAAAACTGACAGACAAAATGGCTGCCGTTCGTTCTCGGATAGCGTAAGAATATGGTATATCAAGGTTGTGGACCCTATAGAGGTCACAATTTTTATCCGATTTTGTTGAAACTTGAAATGTAAGTTTATAACCCAAAGATATCGGTTCCTTTTGTTATTTGCGCATATTGAATTATAATTTCCTGAATTATGGCCCTTGATTGTAGGAAAAATCACTTTCTTTTTAGCTTGTTCTCTATCCATCTCTCGAAAATGTGGGCGTATCCTGCCTGGCACCCGCTGTTTTTTTTAAAAATAGAACGCAAATATAGTCCCGTTGGCAGCAGTGTTCAAAGTAAATATAAATATAACTTTTAAAAAGAAATATCGCCCCAAATGACCGTCACTTCATCGATATCGGTATTTGACACTTCTGCCTTTGCATATATCATGGCGAGAATTGTCGTCTTCTTTGCTTCATTGTGTCGAAAATAAACATATATAGTTGAAATCTTTGACAATGTAATATTCCTCTATGTAGCTTGTATCAAATCCTAAAAGTTTTACCTCGTGGGTTTTCTCTGGGTCCTCTGGTTTCCTCCCACTGCTAAAGACCCCTACGCGAAAGTGAATTATTGAAATAAAATGAAACCATATGTTAGTCCCGAAATGACCTAGTTTGTGTCAAGTGGACGTTAAATCTCATTTCTCTCTCATTCTCCTAAAAGTTTTGATTCAATTTAGCTTTCCAAAGTCTAGAATTATTATCTGAAAGTTTTGTGGTATCGTCTGACGGGAAGCGTGTCCAAGATGGCGGCCAACACGCTTCATCCCGGCTGGAGTATACGTATTTTTTGCATCATAACGTCAAAAAAATATATAAATAGTTGATTCCTTCGACATTATCATATTCCATGATATGTCTGGCAGTAAATCATAAAAAATCTGATTCCATTTCACTCTCCATATCATTAAATTATCAACCGTAAGTGACAACGTGAAAATATTGGAATAATGCCAAAGTCATTGAAACGGTGTGAATTTTCACCTCTGACCTATTACGTAAATACCAGAAAATCCTTTGTTGAAGCGTATGTTTTTTATTCGATAATTAGCGAATATAACATTCCTTTTCATTGGTTGTTTTATTTTTATTACTCGATCACCATTAATTTAAGAAATAACAACAATAGAAATCAGTTGATTGATCTGCCGCTTTTGTTCGCTAATGCTGTTGCCAAGTATGATGGGTCAGCGAGTTGATTCGTTACCGCCAAATGACAGGTGCGAACTGATTTGCACTCGTCAAAAATGGATTAAGAAACCTTTGTTGATATCTCTCAACTGTTCATTTGTCAAGAACCAGCAAGTGTTTATGAATCTTAATAGTGCAGTGTATGCTCATACTTAAATACAACAATGTAAAAATATGTGATTTTCTAACCAGTATTTTCATTCTATAGATGTAATATACCTGTTATTATAATGGGTGAAACTGGATGTGGTAAGACCAGATTAATCAAGTTTATGTGTGATTTACAACGACCAGTTGGCACAGAGATAAGTAATATGATACTCATGAAGGTAAGTAGATTTTATGTATAATCCATTGTTATGTTACAGTTCCTCTATTTTATTTGTAATATTACTAATTTATAGGATATTTAATGTATTTTTGAATCAAAGATTAAGTTCAAGCCCTGAAGTTGTTGCAGAAAGATTGAATAACCCAAAATTTAGGGTGTTGGCATTGCAACATTCGTCTTTGCTGTCAGTTCATTTATAATAATAAAGTATATTATTGAACTTCTGATTTTAGTGACAAACATTATAGCTAATGTAATATTGTGATCACCTATAATTCTAGTCTTAATGTGTCCTTCATCTTCATTGAGACATTTCATTACTGTGACAGTAACTTGGAACTGACAAGACAGTGTAAACATTGCTCCCAACTATGTTGTATTGAAGCCATTTTGAATACTGGTACTGATCAGATTTATTGTTTTACCTAGAAGCTAAGACATCTTCACAAGTCGATTCTGTTGACCATTTGTGGAAGATTGTTTTTGTATTATTGCCTGGCAATACTATGTTATTTTTGGTCGTCATTTATTTGGCTTAATTATTAGGTACATGGTGGAACTACATCGCAAAATATTACAGAGAAAGTTACAGAAGCAGCCGTACTTGCCAAAGAAAATTCTGAGAAATATGGTGAAAATTTCTACACTGTTTTATTCTTTGATGAAGCAAATACAACTGAAGCAATAGGATTGATAAAAGAAATTATGTGTGATGGTACAATGAATGGAGAAATATTAAATGTGAACAGAAATCTGAAAATAGTAGCTGCTTGTAATCCTTACAGGAAGTAAATATCTTTTATTATTTTCAATCCAAAATGACTATATGAACATAGATTGTTATTGTTTACCATTCAAAAAAAGTAGGGGATATTCAGAAACAATACAAAACTGCGGAAATGCACTGCTGTTTTTATACGCCCACATTTTCATGTGGACGTATATTGTCGTCGCCCCTGTCCGTCCGAACGTCCATCCGTCCACAATTGTTTGTGAACTGTCTACAGGTCACAATTTTTATCCGATTTCAATGAAACTTAAAATATAGGTTTATCACCCTGATTGTATAAAAAATCACGTTTTTAGCTTGTGAACACTGTAGAGGTCACAATTTTTATCCAATTTGGTTTAAACTTGAAATGTAGGCTTATAACCCAAAGATCTCGGTTCCTTTCGATATTCACACATATTGGAACGTAACTTCCTGAATTATGATCCCTGATTGTACGAAAAATCACGTTTTTAGCTTGTGGATCATATGAAGGTCATAATTTTTATCCAATTTAAAGAAACGTATTATTATATCACCATTACACCCTAAGGACCCATGAGTTCAAATTTCGTGAAAATTGGCCCAAAACTGACAAGACAAAATGGCCGCCCTTCGTTCTCAAATAGCGTAAAAATATGGTATATCAAGGTTGTAGACCCTATAGAGGTCACAATTTTAATCATATTTTGATGAAACTTGAAATGTAAGTTTATAACCTAAAGATCTCGGTTCCTTTCGATATTCGCGCATATCTGAACGTAACTTCCTGAATTATGGCCCCTGATTGTACGTAAAAATTGCGGTTTTAGCTTGTGGACCCTATAGAGGTCATAATTTTTATCCAATTTAAAAAAACGTTTTATTATATCACCGTTACACCCTAAGGATGGCTGAGTTCAAATTTCGTGAAAATTGGCCCAAAACTGACAGACAAAATGGCCGCCCTTCGTTCTCAAATAGCGTAAAAATATGGTATATCAAGGTTGTGGACCCTATAGAGGTCACAATTTTAATCCTATTTTGATGAAACTTGAAATGTAAGTTTGTAACCCAAAGATCTCGGTTCCTTTCGATATTCGCGCATATCGGAACGTAAGTTCCTGAATTATGGCCCTTGATTGTAGGAAAAATCACTTTCTTTTTAGCTTGTTCTCTATACATTTCTCGAAAATGTAGGCTAATTGCCTACACATGAACATAAACAGTTCATATGGGTGGCTTATCTGACGGCCCCATTTCACTCGGAAAGAGATACACTGTCAAAAGTGAAAATGGACGTTTTTGATTTTTGTCTTAATAATGAGTAATTGCTCCTCCAATCCTCAGACATTCAGCAATTCGTCGTGGCATGCTCCTAATCAACCGTTCAATCACGATTTGGGGCAATCTGACCCACTCCTCTTGCAGTGCCATGGCCAATTCTTGCAGTTTTGTCGGTTAACGTTGACGTCAACAAACACATTTCCCGATCAAATTAAACGTACCACACTAAAGCAAAGATACGCTAAACAGTAAATATTATGCAAGAACCGATAGGAAAGCAAACATGGATAGGATAAACCAGGAATCAGCAGTTTTCATCAACCCTTCCTTGAAGTGTCAAATTTGACAATGAACACCTCCCACGGGTATGGCGCTATTGCGTGTCACACATGCAGCTCAGTTGTTCTGTTGGGGTGATAAGTTCTTCATCTGTGAACATACTCTCAAAGCATGTCAAGTGTCCATGACTATTTATTATATCACAACCTGCATAGGTATTTGCATTTCAATATCCCCTACTTTTTTTGAAGAGTATATATTGTCCATTATTTCCAGGACGACCGGTTTCGCTGACAACCAGTTACTATTGTGCTTATTACCGTTGATATTTCAGTGAGGATTGACCAAAAATGGTACAGGTTAACCTGTTTGCTCTGTTTTTGTTGAAATAATCTGTGAATTTTATTTTAGACACACTGATGAATTGATTAAAAGATTAGAAAATGCTGGTCTTGGTTATCATGTAGATGCTGATGCAACAACTGACAGATTAGGTAAGCAGGTAGCAAGTAAAATCTGTCTAGATTAGATAATTCTGTGTCACATTTTAACCTAGTAATTAAATCTTAACTGATAATTTAATAGGCATATTAAAGAAGTTTAGAAAAACATATTTTTATACGCCCACATTTTTATGTGGAATGCATGTTCATATATAACCCAAAGATCTTGGTTCCTTTCGGTATTTGCTCATATTGGATCGTAACTTCCTGAATTATGGCTCCTGATAGTATGAAAAATCGCGTTTTTAGCTTAAATAGTGTAAAAATATGGTATGACAGGGTTGTGGAGCCTCTAGAGGTCACAATTTTGATCCGATTTTGATGAAACTTGAAATACATGTTTATATCATAAAGTTCTTGGTGCTCTTTGATAATCGTGTATATCCGAACATAACTTCATGGATTATGGCCCCTGATTGTTCTAAAAATTGCATTTTTAACCTGTGGACTCGCTAGAAGTCACAATTTGTATTCAATTTTAAAAAACATTTAAATATATCACAGTTACACATCAATGAAGATTGAGTTCGAATTTTGTAAATATCTGACCGAAACTGTCAGACAAAATAGTGTAGAGTATGTAATACCAAGGTTGTGGACCCTCTAGAGGTCACAATTTTTATATTGTTTTCGCCCCCCCCCCCCGTCCGTCCGTCCGTCATCCACAATTGCTTGTGGACGCTCTAGAGGCTAAAGTTAATATTCGATTGACTTTAAATTTATACACAGTGTTTTGAGGTCATGAGACGGAGAAGCTTATCAATTTTCAAAGATTTCCGATAATTACTGCCAAAGTTATGGCCCTTGATCACTTTGAAAAATCTTGTGAAGCTCTAGAGGCTAAAGTTATCATCCGATTGACTTCAGATTGATACACAGAGTTTAAGGTCTTGAGACGAACAAGTGTATTGATTTTCAATGAATTTTTATGACTTGAACAGCTAAATTCATGATGTTAAAAGTTTCGTATACTAAGCGTTAGCATGGGGCAGAACTTTATAAAAACCAAACAAATTCTAATGGTTTTCTGATAATTACTTAATGAGTTTTTACTCTTAATCAGATTTTAATGTATTATAAATGTTTCATTACCGAAAAAGTAAAAATATGCGACAACTCTTGTTGACTGCCCGGAAAATTTAGCTACTGTGGGCGTATGCTTCGTTGCCTGGCAACCTATCTTTATCTGATTTTGATGAAACTTAAAATATATGTTTATATCCCGAAGATCTAGGCTATTGTAGACATTCACACATATCGGACTGTAACTTTCTGGATTATGGCCCCTGTTCTCTGTCAATCTCTTGCAAAATGTGGGCGTATCTTGCATGGCAACCGCTTGTTCATTTTCTCATAAAATCATAAAATGTGGATTGGTCATAATAAAGAAACTTATCAAAATGTTTGTTGGCTCCGGGAATTCATCACAGAGTTACAGATTCTGCCATTGAAACCCTATAAATTCTTTATGAAATAGGCATAAATCATCCTTACAAATCCTGTTATAAATTGCATGCTAATACAAAAAAACAGTGAAATTAGAAGTAACTTTTGTATGTCCACAATGTGTGAATCCTACAATATAATCAAGGGCATTTACTCTAGTAGAAATTATCTGTAAATTATTGTTAAAATTCAATTAACTTTAATTTCTCATCTCAGCACAAATTTAAAAGACCATGTGGGTATATAAAAAAGTTACAAAAATATCATAGCTGTAGATTTGGAATATTTAATCAATAAAAGTCTACAGTCTTTTTATACGCCCACATCCGTCTGTCTGTCTGTCCGTCCGTTCGTCCACAATTGTTTGTGAACACTCTACAGGTCACAATTTTTATCCGATTTCAATGAAACTTGAAATATAGGTTTATCACCCGAAGATCTCAGTTCCTTTCAATATTGGCATGTATCGGACTGTAACTTCATGGATTATGGCCCCTGATTGTACGAAAAATCGCGTTTTTAGCTTGTGAACACTGTAGAGGTCACAATTTTTATCCGATTTAGTTTAAACTTGAAATGTATGATTATAACCCAAAGATCTCGGTTTCTTTCTTTCTTGGTAAATCAAGGTTGTGGACCCTCTAGATGTCACAATTTTGATCTGATTTCGATGAAACTTGAAATATATGTTTATAACCCAAAGATATTGGTTCCTTTCAATATTCGCGCATATTGGATTGTAACTTCCTGAATTATGACCCTTTTGATAATCGTGGATACTCGAAATTCTGAATTATGGTCCCTGATTGTTCGAAAAATCACCTTTTTAGCTTGTATATTCTCTAGAGGTCACAATTTTTTTCCGATTTTAAAAAACGTTTAAATACATCACCATTTCACCATAATGAAGGTTGAATTCGTATTTCGGGAAAATCAAAATGAAACTGCCTGACAAAATGGCCGCTCTTTGTACGCAAATTGTGTAGAAGTGTGTAAAACGAAGGTTGTGGACCCTCTTGGGGTCACAATTTTTATCTGATTTTGATGAAACTTAAAACATATCTTTATATCCCAAAGATCTCTGTCCCTTTTGATATTTTCACATTTCAGGCCATAACTTTCTGGATTATTGCCCCTGATTGTACAAAAAATCATGTTTGTTTTTAGTTTATTCTCTATCCATCTCTTGCAAAATGTGGCAGCCGTTGTTTTTATATGCCCACATTTTCATGTGGACGTATATTGTCGTCGCCCCTGTCCGTCCGTCCGTCCGTCCGTCCACAATTGTTTGTGAACAGTCTACAGGTCACAATTTTTATCCGATTTCAATGAAACTTGAAATATAGGTTTATCACCCTAAGATCTTGGTTCCTTTAGATATTGGCATGTATCGGACTGTAACTTCATGAATTATGGCCCCTGATTGTACGAAAAATAACGTTTTTAGCTTGTGAACACTATAGAGGTCACAATTTTTATCTGATTTAGTTTAAACTTAAAAAGTATGATTATAACCCAAAGATCTCGGTTTCTTTCGATATTCGCGCATATTAGAACGTAACTTGAATTATGGCCCCTGATTGTACGAAAAATCGCGTTTTTATTTTGTGGACCCTATAGAGGTCATAATTTTTATGCGATTTAAAAAAACGTATTATTATATCACCGTTAAACCCTAAGGACGGCTGAGTTCGAATTTTGTGAAAATCGGCCCAAAATTGACAGACAAAATGGTCGCCCTTAATTCTCAAATAGCGTAAAAATATGGTATATCAAGGTTGTGGACCCTATAGAGGTCACAATTTTTATCCGATTTTGTTGAAACTTGAAATGTAAGTTTATAACCCAAAGATCGTGGTTCCTTTCGATATTCGCGCATATCGGAACGTAACTTCATAATTATTACATCAACGTTACACCCTAAGGACATCTGAGTTCGAATTTCGTGAAAATCGGCCCAAAACTGACAAACAAAATGGCCGCCCTTCGTTCTCAAATATTGTGTATCAGGGTTTTGTACCCTTTGGAGGACACAATTTTTATCCGATACTGTTGAAACTTGAAATGTAAGTTTATAACCCAAAGATCTCGGTTCCTTTCGATATTCGCGCATATCGGACAGTAACTTGCTTAATTATGGCCCCTGATTGTACGAAAAATCACTTTCTTTTTAGCTTGTTCTCTATCCATCTCTCGAAAATGTTGGCATATCCTGCCTGGCAGCCGCTGTTTTTTTTTAAATATTTAGTGAAAATATACATAATATACTACCCAAAAGACTTTAATACGGTACTCCAAAAAGTGTTTTCAGTCACATCTGAGTGACATCATAAATAAGCGGTAGGCCTATAGAGTCAGTCATGCAAATTTTGCAACTCAAATCTGCAAATATTGGCCAGTTAAAATTTATAAAAATCGTAAAAATTTGAATGATAATATTTATAATTTTGATAAAATCAGATAAAAATCAGGCTACATTTAGTCGAAGGTAGCAAATTTCTGTCTGCAAAACCGATAAATCCTGTTTTCTATGGCTGTAATCGTGTGAATGGAAATCCACGGAAACGTGACGTCAGAGAGGTATTTTCCCGCAAGTGTCTCCCGTAAATAAACGGTAGTTGCGCTTATATTTCGATAACTTTTGAGTCAGATTATTTGCATATATTGAGAGATCGATATCAAAGTATTTTAATACAATCGCTAGTGATGTATTTAACTGAAAAAGTAATCCAAAATCGCAGATTGAAAGTCTGCTAAATTTCAGTCAATGGCTTCCGATGTCACCCTTAAGTCACGTGGTATGTTAACTGTTTTCTCTTCGCAGGAGAATTGTCAAAATGACATAGATAGACATTTACTAGCCATGGGGTAAAATGATAGTTATGGAAAGAATCTTGTACAGGTCTCTATTTTATTTGGTACGGTCATGTACTCTGATACCATTACAATATATTTTATTTACTCCAAACAATATTACATGTAATCACAAACACACGTTGGGCTGTCAAGCGTATTACCGGAATCAGAAGTTTCCAGTCAAATTCAGCCAATCATGAGGTCGATTTATGAAACCGAAGTAAGGGAGTTACCTCCCTTTGTGAAAATAAAAATAGTATTTGGCATATGACCATTTTCCGTGAGAAAAGGTTGTGAATCCGTGAGTCTCACATAAAAAACAGGCTAGTTGACATGTCTGATCTCAAAACTGAAATTTTTAATCAAATATACAACTGATTGAATACAGTTCTAGATCTGTTTGTTTCAGACTTTTACCATGTGTACTAAATAATGTCCTACATTTTTTGTTTGTCTTTTTTTATGGATTAATGTGTTGTGATAGTTGTAATTTTATATTAGTTGTACTTATGTAAAGTGCCCGAGAGCAGCTCACTGAATTGAATTGTTGGCGCTATATAAATCAATTATTATTATTATTATATTTATTGTTTTTTTGTGGAAGATTCATAAGCCAAAAATTCAATAGCTTATAGTAAAAAAAATCATTTCAAGTTCACAATCTCCTTTGTAATAATGGTGTCAGTATTATGATTTTAAGTGATCTTAGATTTCTTTCAAATGATAGGGACAATTAAAATATTACTGACAAAGATATAAACCAGTGACAATATTAAACAGATTTAATATAGTAAATCATGTTCCATTTCAAGTACTCTACCAATTGTAAGTGTAACTTATACTCTTTTGAGAGTCTGAAATCCTCATGTTTCAGTGACAAAATGAAATAAGGTTTACCGCCCTACTGTTCTGACCTGACTGGGCCAACGAAGACGGTCCAGTGACAAACATATGTATAGCCTTATTATCTTATTTCGTTATTATGTCTTTTTTGGAAATTGTACAGGACGTGTACCCATGAGGAGATTAGTCTACAGAGTACAGCCATTACCATCCAGTATGCTACCATTAGTATGGGATTTTGGACAATTAAATGTACAGATTGAAGAACTATACATTCAACAAATGGTTAATCGAGCAGTAAGTTTAATGGAAACATTTCTAACTTCAGAAGAACATAAAGTGTCACTCTAGATTAAACAATATAATAAGAATATATTTGTACCTTTATACTTAAGTTTTCGAGATTTAAATTTATTTAGCAATTTTTATTTGTAGATAGAAGAGGAAGAACTGCCTGATATTGATTATTTAGAAAATTCTCTAAGCAAAGTACTGATTGCCTGTCAAGAATTTATGAGAAAGCAGAAGGTAGTGTACATTGATTTCAGAATTATATAATATACTATTCAAAAAAAGTAGGGGATATTTGATTTTGGGGGCATAATACTAAAATATGCAAATGACTACGAAAAAAGTCACTATAGAACCTAACAGAAGAAACATTTCCAGTTACATGTGACGCCCAAACGCACCAATAGCTACCGCATGGAATGCAGGTGATGCTTGGGATCATCATGGGGGTCCAACCCAAGATTTGCACGACTCTGACTTTGAATGTTACAGTCATTGTGGCATTGAATTCCAGGGTGGAAACATCAGTTTAATTGTTTTAGTGACCAGAAAACAAATTTTGATATGCGTCGGCTTACCCTAAATGAAAGGTTACGTGCCCTTGGCATGCTACAGATCGGCACAACACAGGCGGTTGTGGCGCGGACGATGAATGTTTCTCAGTCTGTCATAAGCAGGCTATGGTCCAGATACCGTGATACACAATCTGTACAGGACAGACCACGCTCAGGTCGACCAAGGGCGACAACTCAAGTCCAGGATCGATTTATCCGTACCTTGGCCTTGAGAAATCGTGTCATCACAGCAAATCAGATCAGCGCTCGTCTTCAAACAGACACTGGTGTGAGAGTGAGTGGCCAGACGATTCGGAATCGACTGCATAGGGGTCACCTTCGCGCCCGACGTCCTCGCGTGATCCCTTGTTTGAGAGATCATCACATTCAGGCAAGACATCGTTGGTGTAGGGATCGTCAACACTGGGATAATCGACGCTGGAGCAATGTGATGTTTTCAGATGAGTCAAGGTTCACTGTTGATTTTTTGGACAGACGTAGGAGGGTGTGGCGTCGTCGAAACGAGCGCTTCCAAGACGTTAACGTCATCAGACATGATCGATTTGGGGGTGGTTCTGTTATGGTGTGGGGAGGCATCACTGTTGCTGGAAGAACGGCTTTACATGTTGTTGCAGGGCGTGTTACAGGCCAGTACTACCGGGACAACATCTTGGCAGTCCATGTTGTGCCGTTCGCACGACGTCATGGCCGCCGTTTCATCTTCCAGGATGACAATGCAAGATGTCACAGGGCCAGGATCCTTACAGGTTACCTCCAACAACAGAACATCACCACATTACCTTGGCCAGCACTGAGTCCCGACCTCTCCCCCATCGAGCATGTCTGGGACATGCTTGGACAGAGGTTACGTCAACGTCAACAACGTCCTGCCAATGTCCAAGAACTTGCTGCTGCGTTGCAACAGGAATGGGACAATCTGGACCAAAATGACCTTAGACGTCTCATTAGGAGTATGCCACGTCGGATCAGTGCTTGTTTGGCAAACAGAGGAGGATTTACCCGTTACTGACTTGGTTGTGATGCTGTGGTAACTTTGCTGTTTGACCCCGGGTATCATTTTACCCTTATAATGGTCAGTCTGTACCTTACTTATTCTAACAATCATTTGGAATAAAATGATGAATGTGAACTTCATTTCATTTTGTCATTTGTTTCTTCGTCAGTTTCATTAGGTGACTTTAATAACACTTAAAAATCAAATATCCCCTACTTTTTTTGAATAGTATATCATAATGTCCACTTTTCCACCGACATGCTACCTTATTCACTGAAGATGGGCTCAGCTCTCGTCAGACTTTTATACGCCCACATTTTCATGTGGACTTATATTGTCGTGGCCCCTGTCCGTTCGTCCACAATTGTTTGTGGACACTCTACAGGTCACAATTTTTATCCGATTTCAACGAAACTTGAAATATAGGTTTATCTTAAAAAGATCTCAATTGCTTCCAATATTGGCATGTATCAGACTGAAACTTCATGGATTATGGCCCCTGATTGCGTTTTTAGCTTGTGGATCCTATAGAGGTCACAATTTTTATACGCCCACATTTTCATGTGGACGTATATTGTCGTTGCCCCTGTTCATCCACAATTGTTTGTGGACACTCTACAGGTCACAATTCTTATCCAATTTTGACGAAACTTGAAATATAGGTTTTTCTCCAAAAGATCTCGGTTGCATTCGGTATTGGCATGTATCGAATCGAAACTTCATGGATTATGGCCCCTGATTGTACAAAAAATCACGTTTTTAGCTTGTGGACCCTACAGAGGTCACAATTTTAAACCGATTTTGATGAAACTTGACATGCATGTTTATAACCCAAAGATCTTGTTTCCTTTCGATATTTGCGCATATATCGGATCGTAAATTCCTGAATTATGGCCCCTGATTATACGAAAAATCGCCTTTTTATACGCTCACATTGAAATGTGGTCGTATATTGTTATCGCCCCCATCCGTCCGTCCAAGCAATTGTCGACGCTCTAGAGGCTAAAGTTAATATCCGATTGACTTTAAATTTATACACAGTGTTTAAGGTCATGAGACGAAGAAGCCTATGGATTTTCAGTGATTTCCGATAATTACTGCCAGAGTTATGGCCCTTGATCACTTAATATCCGATTGACTTTGAATTTATACACAGTGTTTGAGGTCTTGAGAGGACGAATTATATTGGCCATTGATCACTTTGAAAAATCTTGTGAGGCTTATGAGGCTAAAGTTATCATCAGATTGACTTCAGATTCATACACAGAGTTTAAGGTCTTGAGACGAACAAGTATATTGATTTTCAATGAATTTTATGACTTGAACAGCTAAATCCATGATATTAAAAGCTTTGTATACAAAACGTTAGCATGGGGCAGAACTTTATAAAAACCAAACAAATTCTAATACTTTTCTGATAATTACTTCGTGAGTTGTTGCTCTTAAGCAGATTTTAGTGTATTATAAATGTTTCATTACCAAAAAAAGTAAAAATATGCGACAACTCTTGTTGACTGCCCGGACGACTTAGCTGCTGTGGGCGTATGTTTCATTGCCTGGCAACCTATCTTTATGACTTGAACAGCTAAATCCATGATGTTAAAAGTTTCGTATACTAAATGTTAGCATGCAGAACTTTATAAAAACCAAACAAATTCTAATGGTTTTCTGATAATTACTTCATGAGTTGTTACTCTTAATCAGATTTTAATGTATTATAATTATAAATGTTTCATTACCGAAAAAAGTAAAAATATGCGACAACTCTTGTTAACTGCCCGGACGATTTAGCTGCTGTGCACGTATGTTTTGTTGCCTGGCAACCAAACTTTTAGCTTGTGGTGCCTCTGGAGGTCACAATTATTATCCAATTTAAAAAAACCATTTGATTATCCAATTTAAAAAAAACATTTGATTATATCACTGTTACACCGTAATGAAGGTTGTAATCGGACCAAAATTGGTGGACAAAAGGTAGAGTGGCCCACAGACTCAATTATCTCTACTATATAAGCTGACCTGTTTTAACAGCATGTTGTCACGCGGATCAAAACTTTGTTTATGAGAAAAGTGCTCTCACGGGCTCGCTCGTGCACTGTAAGCAGCAAACAGTCGCCCAAAATAGACATTCACGTGACAATATTCATTCACTTATTTATCAATGAAGCCATGTAAAAAATTATTCTTTACTCGTTGGACTTTTAAAAATAAGTAGTTAAGAACTAGATTAAAATTTTGGCTAAAACTCAGCGATTTAATTTCTAAGTTAGTTGATTGAACCAATGACGTATATATTGTAACGGTTCTCGGTTCAAAGTCAACTCATGTAGTTTTGCCCTTTTTCTATCTTTTAAATCCACTCTCGTGGCAACATACCAACGCTGCAGGACTGTGAAAGTTACTTTTATTTAACCGTAAAACTCTATTGTTAGTGGGCGCTTTAGTTACTTTAGAAGTTACATTTTTGCTAGCTCTAAATACACAGAAAAAAATTGAGACTGGAAATTAATTGAACGAAATTATTTTCCCTAGTCTCGATTAACCAGACGTGTATGATTAAAATAAAATTACGGTACTGGGGCCTGTTTCACGAAATTTTAACTAAGATAAAATCCAAATTTTAGTAATTTGATTGGATAATATTAGACTGATTGTAGTGCTTAGTCAATCAAAATTGAAGTATCTACTAAAATTTGGATTTTATCTTTAGTTAAAATTTCGTGAAACAGGACCCTGGTCACAAGACTCGGATTCTATTCATTTTAGGGCGCTGCAAATTTGGTTACAAAACGTTTCAGTTATTATAAATCCAGCAACAACTCATTTTTCTAGAACTGAAATATAACCAAAAAGACACGCATTGACTGTTTCATAATTATTAAAAATATGAAAACGCGACACGATGCGTAAATTGTGCGTCTTACTTTCGAGAACAATAGCTATAAAACAGAAATTTCCAGATTGTTACGTAATACGACACAACCAACCATAAGTGGTAACAGAATTTTCCAGTCATATAACAGATCAAAGATTTTTTCGTCAACGCATTTTCACGTATCAACTTCTATTTTTGGATTATCCAATCATATCAAAAAGCATGCAGTTCCACCTTGAAATGGGTTCAATTGATTTACGGTTTATTGTATAATTTATAACACAGTTTAGAGGACAATGTGTAGGAGTCGCATTTTTGACTTCTAAGTAGATTCTTATACGGAATTCCGGATGCAATGCTAGACATTTAGACCACTGCTGTCGAACCGATTTGAAAATGCTTAAGTCTTTTTTTCTTTGCGCATGTCGTGTGCTTGTCGTGTGTTTTTGATGTGTATGATTTTTATATTTGTGATAATTATTTGAAGCAAAATAGGATTATCATAAAGGATATTTAACATCTACAATATGAGTACGGTAAGCACTCTCTACATACTGCGTTTGTAAACCACAAGATTCACCCCTTATTAGAAAGTTTTAACTATAGTCTATTGCATGTAAACGTTTAAAAAATCAGCTCAAAAAACAGACATCTCTCTCTCTCCCTCCCTCTCTAACTAAGGGCTGCGCACGCGTACAAATGTTAAATTCAATCGTTAATTGTACGTACGTAAAAAAACGAAGAAAGCCGACTGCTGAAATTAAGAATTCGTTTTCCAGAGCAAAATTTGATT